TGTCATAACTCGCAAAGTTTGCAATTGTCATCCTAGAAATTTTGCATGAAAGTAGATCACAGCTTAGGACAATTTGTGATAAGATTACAGTTGTTTGCGTTCTTTACTTTAAAAAAAGGGAACAGGTTTAACAATTTTAAAAATTTTCATTTTTGAACTTTAACGTAAATGACCTTGACCTTTGCATGTTCAAAGGTCATTGATCTAAGATGACCATTCTTACTTTGATTTTTGATGTGCAACATATACTTCCGGTTTTACAGACGTCCTAAAACAGCAATTTTCGAAACTTCATAGGCTCATATTACTTTTATTGAACCTTTGTTGACCTTTTGATCTGAACAAAGGTTGTTGCCCATTACGAGATATATCCGATAATATTTTCACTTTTGTCGTGCTCCGTTAACTTCCGGTTCTACAGCCAATTGAAAATTGCGATTTTTAACTTAAAAAAAGGTCTATCACCTGACCTAATTTACATAAACGAAAATTTATCTTTTGTCCTTATTACACGCAATCTATTCTTTCAAATGATATATAACACTTGGTATTTTGATTAAAATTGAATTTGAAAATTTTGTATTGACTTCTATAGTAACTTTGCGTAATTTTAACGGTTTCTATAATCCACCGACAGTCACCGTTGCCTTAAAAAAAACTTTTAACTACGAATATCTCATGATCTAATGCTTGTAAACACTTGAAATTTTGAACATTATTTGACATTGTACATATTATTACAGACAACACAAAATTTTTGCAGTGGGCGTGGCAAATCCGTGTTACTTTTACCTTTACCATAAATAATTCAAATTGTTATAACTCGAAAAGTTTGCACTTTTCACCATCGAAATTTTACAAAAAATTAAAGCACTATTTGGGACAATACCTGATAGAGTTACATTTTGTTTAGGCCTTTTACTTCAAAAAAGGGAATAGGATTTACAATTTATAAAATTTTGATATTTTGACCATTTACATGCATAATTTTGGTCTTTAGAAGGTCAAAGGTTATTGATCTACGATGTCCATTCATACTTTTATCTTTGATGTCCGACATATATTTTCGCTTTTACAAACGTCCCAAAAAGCAATTTTCAACACTTTTAGGGCTTATATTCTCTTTTATTTGACCTCTGTTGACCTCTTGGCCGAAACACAAATAATTGTACCTTTCCAAAAATATTTTCATTTTTGTTGTGCGAATTGAACTTTTAACTTTACAACTATTTGAAAATTCGACTTTTTACTACCGAATGTTAACACCTTTTAATACCGAATGGTATCAAATTCATGCGTCTTTTCACTACCGAACGTTAAACGGTTTAAACGATTTATTTTACTATTGAATGTTTACATTCCTTTCTTTCCGGTAAGATATCTCATTTCGACTTTAAAATGCAACGTGTTATCGATGTATCAGGTTGGATGCGCACTGCTTCGGTACCGTTATAACGGTTCTAGTTATAATAGTCTTAGTTTATACCTCTATTACAATAGTCTCAGTTTATACCTCTATTACAATAGTCTCAGTTTATACCTCTATTATAATGGTCTCAGTGTATACCTCTATTACAATAGTCTCAGTTTATACCTCTATTACAATAGTCTCAGTTTATACCTCTATTACAATAGTCTCAGTTTATACCTCTTTAACAATAGTCTCAGTTTATACCTCTATTATAATGGTCTCAGTTTATACTTACATTACAGTATTCTCAGTGTATACCTTTATTACAATAGTCTCAGTTTATACCTCTATTACAATAGTCTCAGTTTAAATCTCTATTATATTGGTCTCAGCTTATACCTCTGTTTCAATAGTCTCAGTTTATACCTCTATTATAATAGTCTTAGTTTATACCTCTATTACAATAGTCTCAGTTTATACCTCTATTACAATAGTCTCAGTTTATACCTCTATTATAATGGTCTCAGTGTATACCTCTATTACAATAGTCTCAGTTTATACCTCTATTACAATAGTCTCAGTTTATACCTCTATTACGATAGTCTCAGTTTATACCTCTATTATAATGGTCTCAGTTTATACTTACATTACAGTATTCTCAGTTTATACCTTTATTACAATAGTCTCAGTTTATACCTCTATAACAATAGTCTCAGTGTATACTTCTATTACAATAGTCTCAGTTTATATCTCTATTACAATAGTCTCAGTTTATACTTCTATTACACTAGTCTCAGTTTATATCTCTATTACAATAGTCTCAGTTTAAATCTCTATTATATTGGTCTCAGTTTATACCCACATTACAGTATTCTCAGTTTATACCTCTATAACAGTATTCTCAGTTTATACTTCTATTACAATAGTCTCAGTTTATACCTCTATTACAATAGTCTAAGTTTATACCTCTATTAAAATAGTCTCAGTTTATACCTCTATTATATTGGTCTCAGTTTATACCTCTATTAAAAGAGTCTCAGTTTATACCTCTATTACAATAGTCTAAGTTTATACCTCTATTACAATAGTCTCAGTTTATACTTCTATTACAATAGTCTCAGTTTATACCTCTATTACAATAGTCTAAGTTTATACCTCTATTACAATAGTCTCAGTTTATACCCCTTTTCAAATAGTCTCAGTTTATACCTCTATTACAATAGTCTCAGTTTATACCTCTATTACAATAGTCTCAGTTTAAATATCTACTATATTGGTCTCAGTTTATACCTACATTACAGTATTCTCAGTTTATACCTCTATAACAGTATTCTCAGTTTATACTTCTATCACATAATTCTCAGTTTATCTCAGTTTATACCTACATTACAGTATTCTCTGTTTATACTTCTATTACAGTATTCTCAGTGTATACCTCTATTACAATAGCCTCAGTTTATACCTCTATTACAATAGCCCCAGTTTATACCTCTATTAAAATAGTCTCAGTTTATACCTCTATTACAATAGTCTCAGTTTAAATCTCTATTATATTGGTCTCAGTTTATACCTACATTACAGTATTCTCAGTTTATACCTCTATAACAGTATTCTCAGTTTATACTTCTATTACATAATTCTCAGTTTATCTCAGTTTATACCTACATTACAGTATTCTCTGTTTATACTTCCATTACAACAGTGTTCTCAGTTTATACCTCTATTACAATAGTCTCAGTTTATACCTCTATTACAATAGTCTCAGTTTATACCTCTATTACAATAGTCTCAGTTTATACCTCTATTACAATAGTCTCAGTTTAAATCTCTATTATATTGGTCTCAGTTTATACCTACATTACAGTATTCTCAGTTTATACCTCTATAACAGTATTCTCAGTTTATACTTCTATTACAGTATTCTAAGTTTATACCTCTATAACAGTATTCTCAGTTTATACTTCTATTACAGAATTCTCAGTTTATCTCAGTTTATACTTCTATTACAGTATTCCCAGTTTATACTTCTATGACAGTATTCTCAGTTTATACTTCTATTACAGTATTCTCAGTTTATACTTCTTTTACAGTATTCTCAGTTTATCTCAGTTTATACTTCTATTACAGTATTCTCAGTTTATACTTCTATTACAGTATTCTCAGTTTATACCTCTATAACAGTATTCTCAGTTTATACTTCTATTACAGAATTCTCAGTTTATCTCAGTTTATACTTCTATTACAGTATTCTCAGTTTATACTTCTATAACAGTATTCTCAGTTTATACTTCTTTTACAGTATTCTCAGTTTATACTTCTATTACAGAATTCTCAGTTTATCTCAGTTTATACTTCTATTACAGTATTCTCAGTTTATACATCTATTACAGTATTCTCAGTTGATACCTCTATAACAGTATTCTCAGTTTATACTTCTATAACAGTATTATCAGTTTATACATATACTTCTATTACAGTATTATCAGTGTATATATCTATAATAGTTTTATCAGGTTATAACTTTATAACAGTTATACCTTCAATTTCACCTTGATTTTTTCATATTCATTTGCCTTAATGCCTAGTTCACACTAACGGCGAATGCCGCGCTTTAAATCGGGGAGCAAAGTGCCATCATTTTTTGTTTACTTTTCAAAAAATATCACGATTTCTTAAGTAATGTTACGCTCTGATAAGCTCTGATACGAATTGGTTACGCTTTGGGGACGAATTATTTCCCGATTTGATCAGGCCTTGTTATACTATAAATCACGCTTTGATAAGCTTTATTAAGCTTTGATGCGGTTATGACGCTTTAAATCACGCTCTGATACGATTATCAAGCTCTTTTGTGCATTGTTAAGCTCTGTTACGCATTGGAAAATTTCGAAATGGCCGATTTCATGCCGCTTTTGATCAAGTGGTGACAGACCGTGAAGACTGGGGTCCCCGCTTTGAATAAAGCTCTGTTAAGCTTTCCTACGCTTTGAGTCAAGCTTTGCTGAACTGTCTTACGCTTTGTTAAGCTTTGATACGTTCTCGGCGCTTTAATCAATTCGTGATAGAGCGCCCACAATTTTTAAACAGTTTAAAAAATTTTGGCGCTCTTGCCGAATATCCAGCTTTGCTCAAAGCTTTCCAACGATCTATTATGACCCTGGCGCTTTAGTCGAGCTTTGTTACGCTTTGGTACCGCTTTGTACGCCGCTTTAAAGCGCCATCATAGCGCCGTTGGTGTGAACTGAGCATAAAGGAACTGTAAAGAGGTTTTTTTTACCGACATCAATTTGCACCATTTCAATTTTTAATCAGACGTCCGTGGTTCTTGCAATACCACTAAAACTAAAACTACTGGAGTCATCAAACATTTTGTTTAAGTGTGGTAAACACAGACATCTGACTGAAAATTGAAATGGTGCAAATTGATACTATCGGTGTCCCAATTTTTTTTAGACCTCTTTACAATTCCTTTAATGATATTTATTGGATTCCTATGATTCTCATTATAACAGACCTAGCATTAGTGTAAGTGTTCCTTTTAACGTAACATAACATTTTTGGGAATTTCGACAGTCGTAGCAAAGGTGACATGCATATCACATGGAACCGATTGGGTGAGTTCTGCAATCTAATTGAAGTTGAATAAATTAATTGATTCATAATTGGCGTGACTGCAGCCGTCTTTATTATTTAAGTGTATCTGGATATGGAATATGAATAGTTTCAGTCATTGAGGCGTGGATTGTCACATACGGAATAAAACAGTCTACCTCGAGCTACAATATATGATACAGTAGTATAGTGAGCAAATATTGACCTTAAATGTAATGATATTCCATTGGTTTTTGAGTTATCAACACAAAAAAGGTCTATAGTCTTTTAGTATTAAAGGGATTAAAAAGAGGTTTTCTAAATTTTTTAAGTGTATCGTGGGCACTGATAGCATCAATAAGCACTATTACAATCTTTGGTCTGTGGTGAAAAAGCATATTCGCCATTAGTGACATCATCAAAACGTATTTGTTTGTGGATTTTAGGAAGAATAGATGTCTTGTTGAAAATTGGAATGGTGCAAGATGGTGTCACCTAGCAATAGAGGCAAAGAAGAGAAAAATGAATAGCTAGATAAACTCAGATCCTGCACCTTCCTCCACACTTAAGACCTCTTAACAATCTCTTTAAAATGTATTGAAAACAACGGTTCAATAGAACGACATGTTGAGACATGAATTACAACATAGTTCCAAGAATTCTCGTTTATTGCCACCTCCATTGAATACAGGAGTCATTAAGACAATAATGGAATGCTGTACATAGAGATATCAAATGGAATTGTTCCCTCATCAATATTGTCAATACAATGATTTGTCCCATGCTGTGTTTTAAAGCGGTTTACCAGCCTATTACCTTGTATTTTATATAATCAAGACAGAACGGAAGATCAAAGACGATTTAAGAATAATAACATGTTGGCTCGAGATCTATATAATTAACTAATGAAATTGTTATATTTCACGCCTTCTGTTTATATTCCATTACTGTGCTTGATTAGTCACTCTTCATTGCTTTTACCTAGAAACTTTTAATTTATTTAAAGAGAGCTTGTAAACAACATGATCTAAAGCATTCCAAATGATGACATATGTCAGTTGTAAATAATTTTAATTTTTGCAGAATTAATGCGAACAGACATTTTTCGTAACTGAAATTGACACGGGGAATTGACAGTCATATTATGCGAAATAATCAAAATATCGAAAAATGATACCGCTCTGGCTATAGTTGTACGCGAAAACGTTTTCGTTCAGTCACCCATTGATTAAACAAAATACGATCTGATGAAAACATCAATACGCTACACTAAAGTTTTCCTAACTGACAACAAGTTGCTTGGTAAATGGCCAGTTAACGTCCGCTTCATACAGATATCGCAGACTGGGTAGATGTTGATAGTCGCGATAGTTGGCAGTTGGATCTGGGTCAATTGGGTGGTTTGGTAGTTGAGAAAACTATTATATGGGTCTGATCGGGTCAGATGATATGGCGGCGAATTTCGAGCCTTTGTAGCCCGACATCACCACAGAGCTGTTAACGAATATTTAGAAGATTGTGTTCCTTTCTAATCTATATCTAGAAAGAATGGTGATAATGACGATGATGAGAAGCATAAATTAATAATAACACTCATCACAACAAAGTTTAATGCTTTCCCTTTAATTCTACATTAAGTACATTATGAATAAGTAAACAAAATGCTTCCATTTTCAATGCATTTGAATTCGTCTCACATGGTCATGGTTGAGATATCTGTTCCCCTTTCATCAACTTGCCATTATCTCATTGTTTTAATTGTTTGTTGGAAACATGAAATGGAATAACATAGAAGCTTATTTCCTCAAAAAATGTTTTACTTAAATGTTGCATTTTAATCCACAAAAGAAATTATAGCCGATTTCATCTGGAATTGTGATTCATCATGGACAAAGTTGTCGATGACATCTGGATTTTTGAACCATCAAGGACATAATAGTCGATGATATCTGTAATTTTGACCTATCAAGGAGGTTATAGTCAATGGAATCTGGAAAGTCGACCCATTAAGGACGTCAGAGTCCGTGAGATCTTGAATTTTACCCTTCAAGGACGTTATTGTCGATGACATTTGGAAATAAGATCAATCAAGGACGTTATAGACGATGACATTTGGAATTTTAACTCATCCAGGATGATACATAACATCTGATCTATATTACTTCGTAAGCTTCACACATCCTAGATATATAATGTTACTGTTGAATAATGGCGAAGAAAGCACAATCGGGTTATAATCATTCTTAAATGAATTATGGGTCTGTAGTATTAAAATTTGAAATTTGAGAATAGAGATTTCCAATTCATTTGACTAAAGTCAAAAACCGGATACGGACTTTTATCGATTCACATAGCAAAATGAAAAAAAAAAGGGGAAATCGATCTATACTATAATGCTTGATGTGGGAGATTTCGGACAAAGTTTCAGACAAAACCATATTAAATTTCAAAAAATTATTATTTCCGTCCAGTTCAAATTATTACGTAAACAAATGTATGTTGGCTCCAATTTGAACTGAATCCGTAAAATGATATTTCAGACATCGAGTTGAGAGAATCTTGTGCTAGGAACTTTGCATTTGATCATTTTGATATATTTTTCGAGTTACACGAGGGGGTGAGTTTTTGTAACTCAATTTTCAATCTTGGAGAATTTGACCAATCTCTAGATTTAATTGCTCCAGCACGTTGTTCACGATATTAAATGACGCAAAACAAGAGATGCACAACTATTTATTCAGATCATAGATGACAATGGAGTTACCAACTAAAAAATTTGAAACCAAGCGTCTGGTCTTTCATTCTGTAAAGCGAATCTAAACTTTCATCGCATTGAATCGGTGTAATCGATTTTATTTTAAAACAGATCTTTGGGAATCTCTAATGATAAGGTATATTTTCAATATATTTTATTAATCAGGCATAACAATTGTATAAATGAAATTGTTTTTGAAGTGGTTAAAGGGGTAGTATGCATCATTCTATTTGTCAAAAACGCCGTGTCTAGTTTAAATGTAGATTATGGTCTATACTTTTCATTAATTGGAACACCTCACTTTCCCAACATATACTAAAATATCAGACTGTCTCTTTTAACATTAAAACAATTGATGACCCATCTCGAAAGACACAGGTAAAGGTTCAATGCATAGTTATCAGCCAGAAAAAAAAACCCATTCCCATTATTCTGTACAATCAAACCGTTTTCTTATTGATTCATTATGAAAATATCTTTAAAAATAACCATGAAAAGAAATGTTAAATGTCCCTAAAAAACAATAAACTAAGATAAAAGAATAGAATCGATGAAATATTCCCTCGATTTTAACATAAAACACATTTCTGGTCTCTATTATTTTATGGAATAAGAATGTTTTGATAATATTGAAATAAGTTAAGTGTAAAATATATCAATATTGGAAACAAAAGGTAGAAATGGTTGGGAACAATAGAGTTTGATCGTGGTGCGTCAAGTGGATTGCCATGGGACACGCACATCGTCCAATCAACATGTAGTTTATATAGTCAGCGTGAGGTCTCTGTGGAATTGTCTATTTATTGGAACAAGAAGTCAGCTTGGAGTTGGTAGAGGAAACACGAATATTATGTTCTCATGGATTTAATCAAATTTAAAGCATTTATCTTTACTTATGTAAGTATAATTAATAATAAGCTTAATTTTGGGCATATATGCGAATGCTAATAAAATATCAAGAAAAAGGGTACATAACAAAAAACACAAGGGGTATATTATGGTATAACTCACTTCTTTAATAAGTTATACCATAATATACCCCTTGTGTTTTTTGTTATATCTACTGTCCACTTCTAAATGTCGTTCAGATCTTATAAAAAGGGTATAATTGAATAAATGATAGACGTTTCATGAAAATTATCATCTTCTAAAGATCTGATACTTATTTTAAATTGATATTCATAATAATATGGTAATTTTGGGATAGATAACGCCATCATTAATTGCAAAATTCTGCTTCATATCTCCTACTATTATTTTACTTGTTTGTTTTTGAAAATTCAAAGAGTTATTGACGTTTTTTACTACGTGCAAGATCATCAACACCCCCACCCCCCTTCCATCTTATTTCTTTATTTTTTAAGTTGTTCCTATACCAATAATTTTTACCAGTTTATTAATCTTATCAAACAGATTTATCCTCCTATTTTCTTATCCCATGGGAGATCTTTGATGATAGGAGATAAATTATCGATTCATCAAAATTATTTTTTTAGTAAATTGAAAACGCTTCCATGATTTTTATTCTCCTTATTATTCATTAAAAAGGAATAGAGTTGTCCAAACATTTGCTTTACCAACCGTGGTCTTTTTAAGAATAACAATCCGTTTTTCTTCGGTTATGCAGAATGACCCATAGAAAATTTAGTCTATCGTCAGTTCCAGTTTCAGATAGTCCGCATCCCTGTAAATTGTTTAAATTTGTTAGTTTATGCCCCTTTATCTGAAGTTTTCCCTATGAAGGAGTCGCATCTGATAATAGATACTTCGTTTTATGCAATATTTTGAGGCTGATTTTACTTTTTTGTCTCAATTTTAGGTGTGTTTCTTCTTCATTACAGTAATATCCGGTAAGTTTACAAATGTTCTAGTGTCTTTTCTCTTTTTTAACCTTTCAGAGTTAGTGACATATAACAAAGACTTTCAGACATTTCTTACTGACCAGTTGGCCTTACAGGAAAAAAACTGGATTAGACAATAGTTATATAATTATTTTTGAGGTCACAATAACCTAATTGGGTTGTTTAATTACACGAGGGCTACTAAGGGGAATTTGACAAAAATTATTGATCGGCAAAATTAACTTGCAATTCCAAGATTTAGAAGCTTTCTCAGGTAATATCAATCTGTTCAGATTTCTCATTGCAAGTGAAAATTCGATTTCGATAGAATTTTATTCAAGTTTAGTCAAATTGAAATTTAAGCGAGTTCCTATTTTGGCACAATTTCCCACATTACCCAAATAAGCCACAAAAATATAACAATTTCTTATTTGATGTGAACTGGTATAGAATCAGAATTAGAGCAAAAGGTTCTAATGAACTCGTGAACTCAATCCCTTGGGGATTGATATTGGTTTTATTATTTTGCTTTAAAGGGACCGATTCGACACCCGTTTGGCCAATCATACCTTCAAATCCACTTGTGTCCAGAATTATATGCGTTTGAAAGTTGAATTGACATATTTAGAAATAGGTTTAAAAATACTAGTTTCAGGTACTTTCGAAGGAATTTTCGTACATTTTAAATACATCTGAAGACTATTTACATATATTCAAGACAGAAATAAATCCCCGAATTGGCGACTTTGTCCATTTATAGTAGTGCTTCTCAACCGGGTTGAGATTCACCCCCGGGTATTAATTAAGAATTTGACTTTGGCCGGGGTGAAAAAAGTCTGAGAGGTCAATTGGGTTTGACCAAAATGAAAAAAAAAGACTCGCTTACTGTGCTCAAAAACCTTTTTTGCCATGTTGTCCAAAAAAACGCAGATTTCCGGAGGTGGAGACTGACCGGACATAACATTAAATCTTTGATTCGTGAACATCAAGCTCTGGGCTCACACTTCTTTATCAAAATCTAACGATATCAATAATTTAAAAAAAATTAAATTATTTTTCGTAATAAAAAGTGATATTCAATAAATGTGAATAAAAGTATTTACTTGATTATTCAAAGGTGTCAGTGATTCTGGTAGTGCAGAGGTGGAGTGAACAGTCTTAAAAAGGTTGAGAAACGCTGCTTTAAAGGGACGGGAAAAGTTTCTGTATTATGTGCAGCAGGGAATCTTAAACTAGTTTGTAGTACCATTCTTATGTCCCGTTCAGGGTTTAATTCAATCAGTATAGAGTCAGAATGATCTCTTTTGGAAATCAATATATCCTCTGATTAGACATAATCTAAATTCGCCACGACGATATGCGAATCAAATCAAATTGTATTTTCCTTAAAAAAATCTTCTGCCCTATCTGAAGAAGAAATAGCAGAATCTATAAGCTTAAGGAACCATCGTCATTGGCAAGATCAATCTACACTGGAACATTTTTAATTATTTCCTATTTCCTAAATGTGAATCAAAACTAAAATTTGGTGTGATGGTATACTAGTTAAATTTATTTAAGTATCGTTACGTGCAGAAAAAAATGTAATTGTGACACAATAGTTTAGACAGAAAACTATTGATATTTATATTCAAATTCAGATCAAAACGTCACTTAATTTAAGGAAAAAAGAAAAGGAGAAAAATAAACATAGATTTTTCCAGTCGCCTTCCGAAATACATTCGATTTTTCTAACCATTGTGTTCATCTGAAATCTACTACCAAACAAACATAATGGATCCCCAAAACGACACAGTCAATTCCCTAAGTGAAATTTAGATATTCCTATGCAAGATAAAAGGGTAGAATTTTTGCGACCGTCTTTATACGTTCCATTGACTGAAATTTTGGGTGTTTTAATTTTTTGATTTAAGTCACCGCCATGGGACAAATAAGTCGTCATTTATGTCATCTTAACCGTCGACTCATTTGCTTGTGGAAACGTCTTTATTTCAGCCACCATAAAATTGTCTTTCAGTTATGACATTTCAGTGACTCCAATATTAAAATAATGTGTCGTAATTTATTAATTTCAGTTACCGCCACTAGACAAACCAGTAGTAATTATTAACATCTCGGTCTAACGTGTACACATTTACTGCTGGAAACATCTTCATTTCAGCAAATTCAAAATAACCTTTCGGTTACTAACCAAATAATTTCATTTTCTTGAAGTTCTCTATAAGATAATTTCAATTTTGTCTTCCTCATATATTTATAAGATTAAACTTGTTATCTTGGATTTATTCGCTTACAGTCTTCTAAATTACAGTGACCTCTGTCGTCAGACGAATTCTTTTAGATTATTTCAGATACCACCATTTACTTTCAGCGACCTCTGTTAAATGAAATTTCTTAGATTATTTCAGATACACATCCTTTAATTAAGTGACCACTGTAAGATGCATTTTTATAGACTATTTCAGATACCACCGTAAATGTGCACATCCTTTATTTTAGTGACTTATGTCAGATGATTCTTTTTAGACTATTTCAGATACCACTGTAAATTTGCACATCCTTTATTTTAGTGACCACTTCCAGAAGATTTTTTTACAGCCTTTTTCAGATACCACCGCAAATGTGCACGTCCCTTATTTTAGTAACTACTGTCAGACGATTTTTTTATAGACTATTTCAGATACCATCGTAAATTTGCACATCCTTTATTTTAGTGACTTCTGTCAGATGATTTTTTTTTTGACTATTTCAGATACAACTGTAAATTTGCACATTCTTTATTTTAGTGACCTCTGTCAGTTGATTTTTTTTTTAGATGATTTCAGATACCATTGTAAATTTTCATTTCCTATATTTCAGTGACCTCAGATTCGTTTTATGTCCATCTCAGAATAAGCTACTACAGTCAAATTAAAGTCGCTCTCGATTACCGATTTTCAGAGATTGTTTTTAATGGCTTCGTTCAGATTCACCTTCAAAGAGCACCTTAACAGATTTTTTTTTATATTGTCTGGCTTTTAACTGCCTATACATTTTGTATTATGATGTCAATCGTACTTTAGTCGGTCGCAGAATATCAAAATAACGGCGTATGGCAATGGCTATATTCTGATAACATTTTTTTAACTATATTGTTGTCTACAATTTTGTGTATGCGTTCAGACATTATTGTTCTGTAGTCTGATTCTTTCTCTTTTTGAAAATGTCTATTTAAAAAAAAATATATTTTTATGGATTATTTTTCCTCTGAAATTACAGACCACATAAAAAGAACAATACCACTTCAAACAGTGGAAATATTTGGTAAATACTTGAGGAATGACTTGTAAAATCGTTAAAGCCTCAACAGCATAGTGAGATACACCTCGCTTACATAAACATACGAGAATTAAACTATATAGAAAAATATCGATGATAAATTTGTTATTGATGTAAGCGATTTTACCTGTCGATGTCATGGTAACAGTATAAACAACGACACCCGAGAATAATAGCTTGAAATCAATGAAAAGAAAAGCCCATTCTGGTCCAAATAACTTTGCGTCCGGTGGAAAGCAAGTTCTTCAGGTTTAAACATCGTTTATGATTTAAGCGATAAATATGATCGATTTTTTGCTTCTAATTCTTTGACGTTAGACCATAGAATTTCATGGAACTTAAACAAAAGCTTGATCAATAATCGTTTATTGAAAGAAATATCAAGACTGGAGGCAAAATATTTTTAGTTTAAAATAATATTTCATATTTATTGTAGAAAGAGTGATTAAAGTCTTATAACTTACAGGATAGAAAATAAATATATTACACTTGAACCATAACCATATTCTTCCATCTTTTCATTAAAACCATGGCAACTAATTACCAATATTTGATCAAGAGCTTTTAAAAGATTTCTTTTATTGTCCATTTTCTACTTAAAAATGAAAACGCGGCACTTTTAACAATGTCGCTATTTCCTTGTTCTTGTTATTCTAAAATGATGTTTCCTCTTTGATAAAATGTAATAATGTTAGTACATTGTCAAGCATTTCCATACTATGAAATTAAACTGCAAACGATAGTATTACACAATAGGTCCTCTTGAACTCCAACATAGTGATTACACTTCTGAAACAACATATTATCATCTTAAGCCTGCCACAAACGAGAGGAACTGGCTGAGCTGTCTGCCTTAAGAGCTTGGGAGCTGAGCTGTTTCCCCTGTGTGCACTGAATTTTGGGTGAGATTTCTGTCTCGAGGGGCTGTGAAGAAAATAACTATCTTGTTCGATATTTTCTGCCATCAAGAGGCCATAAATTCACCGTGTATGGGCGTTTAAGCTGCTAGCTTAGTTAGAAAAAGTAGCTAACCAATAGAAATTGCGTCGCATGGTAACCGTGAATGATACAATTTTAAGAGATCAGCTTGCTGAAATACCCGTGTCTAAACGCTGTTTATTCTGTGGAATTACATAACAGGGAAATGAGGCCATTTTCTAGTGACAAGAGCTCTCGTCTGCGATGAAAAAAGTAGTGAAAATGTTGCTCAGCTGACAGCCTTTCGAGGCGAGCAGCTCAGCTAGTTCCCCTCGTCTGCGGCAGGCTTTAGCTACTGAGACACCATACAGATTATGTAGCTCAAAGTTTCAGTCACTTTATCTTGTTCAATGTCCATGAATATCAAACACCTTGATGTTAAAATCCGGAAAGAACACCCAAGACTGATCCAATGAAAATAGAATTGCTCAAATCATCAGTATTAAGTAACCTGGTTTTGTCCCATTCGAAAAGTGTATCATTAACACGGAAAACCGAATTAAAAAGTAAAAAAAGAACTATCTCTACCTTTACTGGAAGCAAATACCATACCTCCAGGAAAATAGACTCACTACTATTCGATAGTAGGTAATAGTTGATTCTCTTTCAGTATCTTAGTAATAGCAACGATTATTTTATTATTTTAGGAACTTATCAAGGATGCTACGAAGAAAACAAAAGGCGGCGCTATATGGATGTGAATCCAGGAGACTTTGATCCAACTGGTTTAACCATTGAAGACTGTTCAGCCAAATGTGGAATATTTGGTTATGCGTATTCCGGTGTGACAGGCGGGAACTTCTGTTTCTGTTCAGATACCCAACCACCACCAGAAGCATTACGACCTGACCTAGACTGCAATATACAATGTACTGGTAGAGCTGCAGACACTTGCGGTAGTAAAAATCATATTCAGGTTTACCAATCCTCAAAACCTGTAGTTGGTTTAAAAGTAGATGTTAGTACAACCCCAGCAGTTGGTAGTACATTCCTGTCTGGTGCTGCAGTTGACTTTGACCTAAGTATTGAAGATGGTATTGGTATATATTACCAGTTTGACTATGATGATGGTAGTGGACGAACACCTAAAAATGCAACGAGTATGTCCCAGTACACATTCAATACACCGGGTGTCTATAGTATTAATGTTTATGGTTCTGATTCAGCTAACACTATACCGGTAAATATTCTGATATATATATATATAAATCGAATGAATGAATTAATGAATGAATTAAACAAAAGCAGCTTAATTAAAATTTGAACAAACTTTCGTTTCGTTTTTTTAATTTTTAATATAGCCACTTCAGTTAGGGTCTAAAGTCAAGCCTCTTTCGTCAAAATAACCTATTTACCTAACCCTGCTTTAACCAATCAAATTTCTGCCCTATCCAGTTCTTCGCTGGCATTTTGTGTGAGATAAAAGGAATTTCAATGGTTAAAGCAGATGTCAACAAAGGGTTAGTTTGACGAAATAGGTCAGCCTTTAGACCCTAACTGTAGTGGCTATATTAAAAATAAAAGGTAATAAAATGGAACGAAAGTTTGGTCTAATTTTAATTAGAAGGATGCAAAAGACAATTTTAATTTTTATGCTACTTTTTCTGTCCTTCGTTAGTAATAGATCGGGATCAAAAATCTTGAAAATAGTAAAAGAGGGAAAGCTCCCGAGTTTTTTTTTAAATATGTGCGTTACACACACTATCAATTAGTGGGTGTCATATGTAATAAGAAAAATCTCTAATGGTTTTGGAAAGCAAGATGATAAAACAAACACAATGCTCCTTCCGTATATTTTTTTAGGAAGGACAAGCAGTAACAACAGTCGTGGTAGAGGATCCGGTTGGACCTGTATCCATAACATGTCCACCATTATGTGCCACATTTGAATACTGTTTGTGTGATGTTGAGGTATATAAGGGTAACAACATGGAATTATTGCAAACCATAGATTCTGTACCAGGCACTTATTTCAAAATTGCAGGTGAGTTTCAACCGTCCATCTGTAAGAATCCTAACCATACTCATTTTACTTTAAATTACAAGTGATTTTTCTTTTATAATTATCACACAGTTTCGTGCGTATCAAATTGATTGGACTTGAGGTTTTAGTCCAAATTCTCAATGTGTAGTTGTCAAGACGGTTGGAAATATACTCTGATATGTTTTCTCTTTGCGCCGGAAAATCATCAATTCCAATAATTCTTTACTGCTTACGACACAATTGCATGAGAACTTTTGCTGCATTTTATCACAATCTTCAACCTTTTTTAACAATCAAAGTTCTTTGAATTTATTTGGCGTGAAATGATGTGTAGTTAATGTCTTTTTTGCAGATCCTATATATGATACAGTTGGTATTGGTGTACCCACTAAGGGACCGACCGATCCTAATCCAACAGGTCCTGGTTACTTTGTGCTGGAGCATGCTGAATTTAGAATGACTGGCAAAATAGCTGGTTTTAATATTTTTGCAGATCCAGGTGGTCCATTAACCATACACGTGAGTTTTATAAGAGATGGGTGGAAACAATCAAGTTAAACATGATTCTTTCAACATACAAATAGTACAAAAGAGACAATTTGCAAAAAGAAATATACAAATTTCTAAATAGCATCTTATAGTACATTACAAAATTGAAATTTGTACCATATTGTATACATACATATTATTCTCTATCCTTTCAGATTTTTGAACCGAATTGTGCCACTGGTATTTATTGTTCAGAAACCAATACTTGTCAAGCTTCATGCTCAAATTTTGATGTAGATTGCTCACTAGGTGAATTCTGTCCTAGTACTAGAACATGTACGGCAACATGTACCAATGCTCCAAGATATACAACTGGAAATTTAAAAATTGGTCGAACTATTAAACAAACCGTGGAGATAACTGTAGCTGCAGGATATAACTATATAGATGCTCCATCCGATATGTTTGTAGCCCCAGGTGATGTCCTAGGTTTCCAACAAAATGTTAATGCTGTTGTATCTGTTTCTCGGGAAACATCAACTGCACCAATTGAAGATTATTTTTTCAATGCTGATCCACCATATACAGCGGGTGCCAAAACGGCAGAACCCAAAAATCTTCTGCTTAATGCAGTTATGACTGCACCTTCTAAAGTTCTGTTACACCATGAATTTCAAACGGCTAATACTTACGATATTAAAGTGGATGTTCGAAGTTCAAAAACTACAACCCCAGTATTCAACTCAACAACGGTCAACGTTATTGAAGGTATCAACAGTACCGACATTGTATCACCAATTTATGCAGCTGTAGGCAGTTCTATTGACTTCAATTTACAACCACATTCAGGTAGCTTTATGTCTCACTTTTCATATAATGAACACATAAAGTGTCGGAAGATACATCCTCATATACCATATAATATGATGCAAAAAATAAATTGCAATTGTTTTGCTCGTAATAACTGGTCTTTGATTAAACTAAAAAAGGCGCGGCACAGGGCACATTTTGTTTTTCTCTGTATATTGCCATAATAGCCGATCTCAACATTTTGAGTCCATTCTAATAATGATTGTAAATAAGTCCGTAAACGCAGCAACAGACATGTGTATTTTATTTTTATAGACTGTACGGTCGCAGAAATAAATAGATTCAGAAAGGAGAAATAATTTTACTTATATATCTGTGGTCGTTTAATGGGTTCGCTTGCCACATAGGCACAGACAGATTTTGAGAGGCTTGATATAAATGTGGTGTTTACATTATCGACAATAGATGTCATTAGAAAAGTTTCCAGGACACTAATATAGGTTCCAAGAAGCCAATGAGATAATTAGCTCAAAAGCTGATATAATGTTACTAAGTATATAATTATTTAAGTTGTTTGTTCTCTTACAGGTTCCGATTACTATTATACGTGGAATTTTGACGATGGCACTGAAGAAAATGCAACTACGTTACCAGTATCACATTCTTTCACATACGCAGGTGTTTTCAACGTAACATGTTCAACCCAAAATGCCTTGAGTCAGAAGAGTAACTTTACTGAAGTAGTTATTGAGCATACCATTACTGCAATAACTTTGAATACAGTCACCTCATCCAGAGTTAATCCAGTCAATCTTAATTTCACAATGGCCACAGGTTCCAATTTTACTTGCGAGTGGGATTATGGAGATGGCACTGCTTCAGAGACGAAAGACGATGCTGATACACCACCTGGAGGTGAAGTAACTCCTGTCCCACATACATATGCTGCAGAGGGAAGTTACACTGTAAATGTTACATGTTACAACAATATTAGTAAAATGACAAAAATAGCAACACAAGTCATAGAATCACCTATTACTAACCTTCAAATTCTCACAACAGGGGCGAGTAAAAACGAACCCTTTAAAATAGAATTTCAAATAGATCAAGGAACCAATCCAACAGTTGATTTTACCTTCGACGGCGTGCCCTTTACTAAAGATGCAACAACAAATGGATTCTCAGAAGTAACTGCTACAGCACCAGCAAAACGATGGGAAACAACACTAATACCTGGCAAGCCAACAGCAGAATATAATTTGACTATTATTGTATCAAATTTGTTAAATGGTGTACCAAAAAGCATAGCATTCATAGTAGAAGTCGGAATGAAGAATGTTGTTTCAACTGTGTCACAAACTACTGTACCGACTGCTGGCGATGTTGTATTTACCTTGGATATGGAAGAAGGTTCAAGTGTAGAATATTCAATAGACTTCGACGATGGTAGTTTCAGTAACTTTAGTTTATCAGCTGGAGCTGATTGGGCTAACGAGGTACCAAGAATGAAATCAGTGACTCACCAGTTTGCCGATGGAAGGGTTTACAACGTTAAAGTTACAGCTTGGAACTCTGCTGGAACAGAAACATTTTCTCATACCGTAACAGCCATTCAAAGTGTATTAGGCATCCAAATGAATAATGAAGACTATTATCGATTCACTCCACCAGCGTATCCTCATTTCAACTTCACAGCTCCAGGAAGTCCCCCTAATCAAGCCAAAGCTTTCTTTGATTTTGGTGACAATAAAGAGGAAGAGTATGATCTAACTATAGGTTATAATTACTACCATGAATACAGAGATATTGGTAGATATTTTGTCACAGCAAATGTTTCTAATAGTATTAGTGCGATAGTATTAACAACCAACATCACCATTGTGGAAATATTACAGGATTTGATAGTTAAATCAGTTCCACCAGGAGCTGCTGCTATAGGAGAAAACTTGGTATTAGATGTGTCATTATATAGAGGACCTACTGGTCAAGATTGTACTATTGACGTTGATTATGGTGATGCACCGGTTATGAATATTAATGGTCACATCAGAACAGGTACATCTACCCTTCATTTTTTATGTCACCATTTCTTTCGTACACAATTGTTATGAGTAATTAAGTACAAATATTAAAACATGTTGTTACTCAGAGTTTCATTTTTGAATTGACACATAATAATTACAAAATATCCTGGTCTGTCCTTGTGCTTAAGCTTACACAAATAAAACCAAACGATGTAACCTGTGTCTAACTGAGAAACTTTCCATCATTAATGCCCCACAGAACAGCGTAACAATAACATGTTTTTTTAATGTTTTAATATTCTATACCACTCTAGATTTGATGTATCTAACACTGTTTAACATTGAGAATTTTTTTGTTATTGAATAACAAACTAAACAAGTTGAAATAATTCGTCTGATTTTCAATTTTATATAATTCAGGTCAAGGGCAGTTTGGTACCGATAGGTTTGAGACAGCTACATACTCTACAGTAGGACCACGTACAGTCACCGTAACTGTGACCACACCATTAGAACAATTAGTAGAAACATATAGTGTAGAGGTTCAGGATAAAGTGTTACCTGGTTTCACTGTAACTATGAACCCAACATCCGGCGACGTTACACATAATAGTAAGTTAAACGCTATTCATTTTTATTTCCAAAATTAAACTTTCATAGATCTTCTACATTATTATCCTTGTGTATCATAGACGGTGTGACAAGGCAGTTGATTTGAATTCGGATTAGCAATGTACACTTGTAGTAAATTAAGGCAGAAAAAACCCTCAGCACATAACGCATAATTGTCAGAGAACAGAAGATATCTTTTTATACAGTATAAACAGAATAACCCTTGCTGCCATGCCCATATATTTCCCACACCTGCTTTTACTTTTAAACAATTATTGTATAATTTTGAAATAATTAGTTTACATCATTAGGTACATGATTCTTTTCTCATTTGCAGACAATCTCGACATGACGATTAACTATCCTTTCACACCGCTACCCACTGATGCCTCTTATTCAATCAGTTACGGAGATGGTACTTTTCAGAACGGTTCGCTTACTGGAACCCCAACAACAATTCCAAGTCATGTCTTTGCTACTGATGGTCAATTCCAGGGAACTGTGACCATTTATAACCTTGCATCGACTGAGACAATAAATTTGAATGTAAGTTTTCACCTACCGCTTTTCTGCAAGTATTTAAAGAAATGTTGTTACCTGGCTTGCTACTAATATCACTTAAAATTTATCTTTCACACCCGCAGATGCATCTATGATTATCAACACACGCTACTCATATTTCAGGTTGGTTCGTACATACCGGTAGCAGCTTTTACTGTCGCCACATCTTATAAGAAAGCATTACCACTGAATGCACCAGAAGAACCTGGTTTAGGTACCCCTGGATCGTTTCCTCGTGATCGACCAGTGATCTTTAGAATGTCACCTAACTCAGGTAAGCTCATTAGACAATATATTACATCCTGTATACAGTGGCGGAGCCAGGTTTACGTCCGGGGGGAAAGCGAAATATCTGAGAAATGTCTAACCTTATTATGAGATTTTTGACCGAAAATCTTGCTTTCGGGCTGCAAAAGGGGGGTGGGGGGAGGATGGGAGGGGCCTTTTGGTCATTTTATCCAAAACAATATTTTCAAAACATTTCGTGAGCGTAACTTTGACTTGTCTTTTAAACGATAATGTTTGTCACTAAAATGTATTAAAACAAATATTATAGGTACCGTTACAGAATATGCGATATCATATCAACTTACAGCTGGCGGAACCATAACAACACTTACTAAAACTACCAATCCGTTTACTATTGACTTTCCTGCGGTAAGATAATAATCTGAAATGTTTTTTAGAATATTTATTAGTCGATGACTCTGCTGGTTGACAATATTGGAGATCACACAACCTTCAGTCCAAAGCGCTCCATTAAAATTAGCAATATGATTGATGTCGTTATCGATAATGCATTCTCAACCTTCCAAAATACTTTCAGCTAAAGATTATGATGTACATATGTATGCTTTTTACTTCCTCTAACATACATTCGGAAGTCATTTTGTTATTCATTTCACATTTCAGAGTGGATCATTTGATGTGACAATAACTGCTAAAAATCCACTAACTTCCTCGTCAACACCAGTGACTGTTATTATATTAGACAGAGTTGTGAATACATCATTGGTTGATGCTTCACCAAGAGCAGGTCCTGGAGAATCTAAAACATTTAACTTATCATTTGCTATTCAAGGAGATATGACCTGTCTTTTGGTAGATTTTGGTGACGGTGTTCGTCAGACCTGGGCAGATGATCCTACATATTGTAACGTTTTCACCCCTCCTGTACCGACTCATGTTAGTAGTTTAACAGGACTTGCAACAATTGATCACATCTACAATTCCAATGGTTTTTATGATGTCATGGCAGAAGCTAAAAATGGATTTTCAAGTTCATCGGTTACTATAAATGCACCAGTATCAACTGCAAAATGCACAAAACCGACAGTCAACATTCAGGATCAAAGTTACCAATTCTATAGTCCACAGATATCTAACAAGGGCAGTGATTTGAGAGTATTGGGCAAATCAGATATATTCTGTGCTACAACACTGAATAATAAGAAAAATTGGAAGGTAGAAACTGTTGATGATAATACTGGTCTTGTTAATGGACCAGTGGATATCAATTCCCTAGCTACCAGAGCCAATGCTGAGTTTTACATCCCAGCTAGATTTCTAGATTATGGCCTATATAAATTCACCTACAGTATGGAAATGATCAGTGATCAATTTAATGGTGGCAGATATGTATCAACAACGTATACGTATCTCAGGATCCAGAAATCTGATTTGGTTGGTATAGTAGAGAGAGGTGGTATAAGTGAAGTTAAAAGAGGACAGGGAACTACTGCTGAGTTAAAACCAGCTGATTATTCTTACGATCCTGATGACAGTACTCCTATTGGATCTCAGGTATGTCGTTTTATCATCTTTTTTCGTTCTTCCATCACCTAAGTGCTGAAATCACGTGGGCGAGAATTGTTTGAAACCATGCTTAGTAGATTTACCGTTAGAGTTTAGGTATGAAAAACAGATAGCTGTATAAATGTGATTTTTGTTAAATACATACTCAATTTGCATTTCAGACGTTTAATTCATTTACGTGGACATGTGAACCAGTGAATGAGAATGCTACTACTGGTTATTGTGATTTACTATTACCAGCAGTTAATAGAGATGATTCTCCATTGGTTATAGATCTATCTCAATCACCATCTCAAGCAGATTATAAATTCTGTGTAGTTATTACTAAAGATACAAGAAGTACTAAAGCATGTTTAGTCGTGCAATTAGTTGATGGTACTCCACCTTCAGTATATCTTGAGTAAGTTACATTCAGTAATAATATTTACAATTTAGTCAAAATATTTGTTAAACACAACAAAACAAAAAGCATGGATGTGAGTGTGTATGTCCAAAACAGGATAGGCCTACCATCGTCCCACAGTACATCCAAAGTGTACAGCACCTAACTCCTTGGTTCTCAACCTTTAGAACTCTCTAACTTTATTTACACTCTTGTAATTCCTTCATCTTCATCAACCAATATTTAATATTATGTAACATACAATTATTTAAAAGTTAATTGGTGTTTGTTGGTACTCATATAGTACACCCAAAGGGCCTTGCTGTAGACTTTATAATATTTTTGTAACAAATGATTTTCAGATGTACTGCTAGTTCAGTATGCACACAAACAGCTTCAGGACAGGTTATACCCAGGTCTGGAAGACTAGGAGTGAAATGTGAGTGTTTAGATTGTCTACCAACAGATCAAATACTTTATAAATGGATCTTCTATACATATGATTATCGTTGGCCGTGGAAATCTATTGAGAATATTTCTGATCCCATGTATTCAGTCGGTATGTAAAACATTGATATCTATTACTTTTTCTTATTTTTTTTCTATAACTGTACATATTATGGTGTTAGTCTTTCTATAATCTTCAAAATTCAAAATGTAACAATTCTTATAACTTATAACATATTTATAGTTTTTGTATAATATCTTAACTTAATCTGTATCAGGATCTGTCAAAGATAAATTATATCATCTTACTTGTTATTGTCCAAATTTCTCGACAGTAGCCTTTTTCTCTTCCAAACTTTAACTTAAACTTTCAGAATCTTTTAAAATCAAATTACATTCATTTTCCCGTTCTCTGTGTTTTCTATTCGTTTGGATAATCTTAAAATTATTGTATCTTAAGAGAGTGCTATCCGTACGACGTTTCAAAACTATTGTCAGGTCCATGTTGCTATTAACATTCTATGTATGTACGCAAGATATATCGACTTGAAGTTTATTCTGAAAAGTACCACGGTTAGCTGTTATTAGATATTAGTTTATAAAGCTGTCTGTAATCTTTGGCTTCATGTAATTTATTTTAGCTTTGTATTTTCGAATTTCCAATCTAATAATACATGTATCTATATATTAATAATTGAAACATTTGATAGATGAAATCTACTGATATTAATTAGTATTATAATGAAAAGTTATATAAAGTTTAAAACAAGAAATGTTGAAAATGTAGATCGTTTTTAGTATTTTAGTGTGTTTTTACTAACATGTGTGATACCAATAGGCGGGGACTATCTTACGGTTTCTCCTTTATCTGCAAGAAACGCTAATAGAATCTCGAAATACATTGTTGATAGAAGATATATTTGTTTTTGGTCTATTATGAATATTTTTCTCAAGTGGTTTCTTATGACCTGAACGGATAAACGGGTTTAAATTTAAAAGGTCCTCTCCTATTGGTGGTTTGAAGTAGAATAACTAACACTTTTTATGTCTTTTTGTGTGTGCGCCTGGCATCTGCTGTCGCTGCATCTGCAACTTAAACTGCTGCGTTGCGTCTTACAGGAGTGGACGGTAAGAATCACATGCTAACCATTAGGAATTTCAATCCAAAGAAAGCAAACCATTTCACAGCACAGCTAAACACAAGTCTAACCTATTCCATTAAGGCCACCAATATGAAAACCTTTCACCTTATTGGCACATTTCTGGAATATTCGTAACGATCAGAGAACCAGAATCGGATATTTACCCCCTGCACATAATACACACAATTTAGGGTTGTTTAGATAACGACCATATTCACACAATATACCATACAATGAAGGTGAAGACTGTTCTCTTGGATTAACATATCAAATCGTTCCACAACTTCCCTCACACACCAGGTGCACTTTCCAGTCACATTAAGAATCAACGAATAACCATTGCTGCAGCACTGCACTGATATCTGGACACGCTATCGTGCAGCATCAATTTGAAAGCTAAATGCATTTTGAATTTTGTTTTTATTAAGCTTAATAAGCTTTTGAGTTAGATTATAGAATACTAGAATACTGTGCTTAGGTCAATTAGTAGAATAACAAAACAGAAAATAAATCATTTTAACCACTGTCGCTTTATTTTAGGAGTAAATTCTAAAGAATTGTCGGTGAAGATTCCATTGTTTAATCATTTTGAGGGTGTGTCTAAATTCCGAGCTGGTTGCGAGGCCACAAAACAAGGACAAACAACAAAAGGACTGGCATACATGAACTTCGAGATAAACGAAGCTCCATCCAATGGTAGCTGTACAATATCCAAGACAGAGGGTATAGTAAGCGTCAACAAAGAATTCTGCATCATGTGCAAGGACTGGCATGATGCTCAGGGAATTGCTGAGTATCAGCTAATAGGTAAATAGACAGATGATCAAATTAAATCATTACTGATAAGAGAGCAATCTGTAAAGTGTTCTTAGATCTGTTCCAGTGTACCATGTCCCTTTGACGTCGCATAGCTTAGTTGAAATCTAATAACGTGCATTGGATTCTAATCATAATTATATGATGGTGCTCAATACGAAGTTATTGGGGTGGTTTCAGATCAGCTGACCATCAAGTCTCCTTGGACAATGCCATGTCATGAATTTTAACATCTATTTCAGTGCGTTATTTAAACGATGATGTTGATAGAGAAGTAATAGCCCTCCCAGTCTTTGAAGAACCAATCTGTATAGATTTACCTATGGGAGCAGATTATAATGATTTTAAAGAAAAAGTTATAGTACAGATAAGAGATTCATTGGGAGCAGTAACTGAATATATTATAGACGATGTAACAGTACGTATCCAAATTGTACCAAAACAGCTAAGTACTATACCATGACCTACAATTCAAAACTGAACTCCTTGTATATGTTCTCTTGTAAAAGTTTCAAAACAAAATCACGTGATCTTTTTGTTAAGAGCTTTGACTATTCCGAATAACAATTGCGGGTCTTCGACTTTGCAAGTCTAGAAAAGATCTTAACATATAGTTAGTCACTGTCAGAATATTCTTAAATTCCCATGATGCATCATTCTGAGCAGAAAATATTTTACATTTTTTATTATTCTTTAAAGAATACAAACATTTCCTTTGGTACTTGAGGTACAATTGTAATAACAAAAATCACACGATTCGAATGGTTCAAAAATGCTATGTCATCCTTCATTTTCCATTTTTCAGGTAAGACCATTGAGTGCTGCCGAGTCTCAACAACTTATAGCTGATTTCCGTAATAGTGATGCGGATCAGTTTGACAAGATTTATGCTGAAGGAGACACTAATTCTATAGCTGCCATAACATCTAATTTGGTAGCTATATTAAATAGCGACAGTAAGGCTGATCAATCAGGTTATTAGCATGCTTTGCTTGGCTTTGTTGTAACTTTTATAGTAACTATTGATAGCTCTTTTTATTAATCTGATTGATATGAAGGTTTATTTCAGAATGGTTTAATGATAAACGGTAAGAGATAATCAATAACACAATAAACATATTTAATAACATTTTGACAATCAACCAGATAATATAATGTCTTGTGTCAATATATTAAAGATAGGTTCCCCGAAGTCGATATATCTTAGTATTGATCGTCTCTCCTTGTGAGATAGTTTCTTCAATTCCTTTAACAAGGTAACAATGTAACGAAATTTGGACGAAATCAATAAGACCAGTTTAGGATATCCAACAAGTTCATTTGTGGACTTTGTTCATTACAAAACGGTTCTTTAATTATAAGTATAAATTTTACGTTGACGATGGTGAAATTAAAGGGACAGGTGTGTCATTTTGGGGGTTGAATTTGAAAATATGCAAATAGTCTTCAGAAGTAATAGAAATGTAAGAAAATTGCATAATCCTTTTAAAAATTCTTCAAACTAGAAATTTTACTCACTATTTCTATATATGACAGAGTATCTTAAATTCACGAGTCGGATTTGAAAGCTCAAATTTCAACAGCGAGCTGTGTACACTATTGCTGATTAGCTCAGCTAAAAAATTCCAGTTTCTGAGACTAAAGTATGATTGGTCCAAAATGGCCTACTTGTCCCTTTAACACGAATTATGTACTTGCGGACAATGACATTAATACAAAATATTGTGTCAGTATTTCATGCATCTTGATAATGTAAGAACACTAAAAATGTTCAAAAAAATTATGAAACTCGGTCCAAGTTCTCTTTAAAAAAACACAACATGACTTTTAATAGAATATTCATTATTTTATTCTATTAGAGCATAACAATAATTATTGAATCGAGACTGAATCTATCATTCACATTTATATAGCAATTCTCCAGCGTCATTCCAATCGATCGGAAATCCAATTTTAACTCTAGAATATTATATTTATCACAATCAATATCTTAAGATTAATAACATTGGCTAAAACATGATAATGTATGTTAAAGAGATCAGCGTTTTCAAACTCTTAAAATATTACTATTATTATTATCATATGAAAACAGAATGTAATACCAAAAGGTAATGAAATAAATATGACTTCAAAGTTGGATGTTCAATACAAATTATAACGTTACTTGGACCCCAATTATAATGGCATCTAAGTCACATGAAGTGCCAAAATATACCGTACAATTTTATGTGTGGGAAAATTTTTTTTAATCTTCTAGAAAACGATCTAGAAATTCGTGAAATTGATACAAAATACTTTATATTATACTTTGGAGAAAATCCAACTTTAAAGTTTTTTTGATGTAGATAATAGATTTTGCATGATTTTCGTAAAGAATACTAACAAACTAGCACTAGCATGACTAACAAAATACTAACAAACTAACAAATTACTAACAAATACTTAATGTTTTGTATCTGTTTACTAGTTTACTAACACAAATGTTAACAACAGTGCAATACTAACATTAGATGTAAACGCATACACCGCATTACTAACAACATTTTATTTGGTTTAAACTTATCTATTATGAATTTTTACTCAAAGTGCCCTTTTCACGTGCGTAGCAGATAAATAGCATAGTAAAAATTAAATATTTTGTAACACCTTTGTCGTAAAAAAAAGGCCTGTAACATGTAGCCAGAGCAACATTTGAACTACTGTCAGTGAGATCAAAGTCCATTCCCAGCCTGAATGATAGTGCTATGAGAAATGATGACAATTAATACACCAAATATTTTTCAAAAAGACGCACAAAAATTTACAAAACTATTAAATTTGATTTTAGAATACAACGGTGTAGGTGTTGCTAGCAGTAAAACCAATACCGGGTTTGGACCATCAGATGGCAATAGAACAGGTGCTTTTGACGAGGTATGTTCATGGTCATAATGGTTACCTCGAGTTATTATATACATGTAATGATATAAAGCCATGTGTTCTCTGAAATAGTATGTTTAATACACCCAGCTACCGAGTTACCATCTCAAAGTAGAGACTTGTTATGCAAATGAAAGTTAGAAAATCGTAATGCCTTTTATGTCGTTTAGTTGACAAAGTTAGCATGCGAAATAATGGAGTTATATTTTCAGACTGATAGCGTAAGTAATCCAGAATTGAATAAGATTTATGAACAAGAAAAAGATCTGAGATCTCAAGTAAGTTTTCATATTCTTTATCTCAAAGATTCTCTTCAATGCATCTTAATAATAGTAGTTGTCTTTGTCAAAAACATCCCTTATAAAACATTAAGCTCAATGGGCATGACGAATGTGGTTAGAACATCCGCAAGAATAGGTTACTTATTATGTCGTAAATGACAATTAGACCTCAATTATTGAGGAAGGTCTTTGGTCTGTTATGATAAATGTATTCTCGGTTCTCGATATATATAATATAATGTTCCGTTGTTTGATTAAGACGAGATTTCGATTGTGAACACAATAGAGACTACAGTTTTTGTCTTAAATTATGGTAAATGTGGCTTGTGATATGATAGAGGTGACAATTTATGTCATGAATGAATTTTATTATTGCGTTGGTTTAAATCAACAATGTCTTAGACAAGTTAGATTTTTTGGAACAATTTGACAGAGATTGGTGATCATCCTTGATATACTGAAAATTTATCTGCGTATCTTGCTAGTCAAAAACTTGTTTATTCTGCATTCCAGAAAACATAAATGCTTCATAATGAATCCAATTTTTCTTGCAGTTGAAACAACAAGGTGTTTTAGCTCTCACATCATTAACATCTGCTAGTATCACTTCCATTAAACAGATAGCTAGTGGTTTAACAGAATTCTTACATTATCCTGAAGAGGTTACATTAAAAACTGCTGTAAGTGTAACACCAATCTCAATATTTACTTAATTAGTGTATGTTTATGTTTCAAATTGCTTGTTCTCTGATCAATAGTATATCAAATCTAACTAGGTTATATTGGGCAATTACGGATATGGTTAAATGGCCAAAGATCTGTTTAAAGTTCGATTTTGTTGGCTATTGAAGTCAATATTAAATAGGGAAAAATTAATTTCTTCATACCTGTCCATTTGATATTTTTACCTTTTGTATCATTCAAATTATTATCATTCAATACTTAATTGCCGCACGAAGTAGGATAGCATCTGTAAAAATTTGGAGAACATTACTACAAGTGATACAAGTGAGAATCCATTTTTAAACGTCTATCTTTGAAAAGGGCGATCTTTCCCTGGTGTTATTGAGCTGGGGTACGCTGTCGTCAAATCTTTACGGTGAATTATTGATATATTTACAGGAAGCCTCTCTTGAAAAGACACTAGATATGGCTAAGTATTTGTCAAACATGACTGGTATTTCATATGAAGATCGAAAACAGACGTATATTTATATGGTCGGAACTGTAGGCGCAGCACTTGACGTAAGTATTGCTAAATGGAACTTAACAGATTCTGAAACAGTTCAAGGATCAATTATTATGTAAAAAAAATAATAATATAATAAAGTACTGGCGCTGCGGTATTAAGACATGTAGCAATTGACTGAATATGATTCAGATATTGCGGAATTTCTTTGTATTGGAACTAATATAGGTTAGTAAAATATGTGAAAATGTGAGAAAATACTAATCTGTCTATTTTGTGCACAGGCTATAGGATTTAATGGTGATAACCCCTCTTTAACAGAGTTAGCAGAAGCTAAAGAATCGCCAGAATTTGAAATCTATGATACCAACTGGGAGAATACAAAAGGAGGTAACGCTTTGATTTTACAATTAATCAAATGAATTTAAATATAAGTAACCTCAGACCAAGATGTAATCCATAGAGCTGTAATTACAATAAGTTCCTTCAACTGTCGGTGTTCCAAAGGTCCTGATGCACTTTCTGGATTGGATTGTCTACAGTGAAAATAAAGTAAAATGACATTCTTGTGATTTGAAATATGAAAGTTAGTTATAACTGACTGATATACGAAATCTTGTTCGTTTATTTGTTAACGTGCTCTTTTTTTATTGCAGCAATCGTAGCAGAAGACATGGACGCAGCACGAAATGTACACAGTCAGCATACTCATAAAAACCATGCCGGCGAAAAGGTAGTTTTTCTATTATTACAAAGTGCGTTTTTTATATGTGTTTAACTTGAGACACTAATGGAAAAAAGAGTGGAAATTTTAGAATGGGGATTAGTTGGGATAAGTTAGAAATTTATACTAAATCTTAGTTAGATTTTTTATTTTCTTGCATTGTTGAAACAGTTCGTATTTTTGTTTGGATGTGTAAATCGGTTATTGACAGAAAACAACCCAGTATATACCCACTGATTATACTAAAATGATTCATTAATTTACATTGTGTTTGGATGGATATTCTTATATATTATGAATTATGATTTCAATGCTTGTGCTAGAAGCAAACCCCAGACATTACAGACTATATCTTATAAGAAACAATCCTTATACATTTTGTTTATTTCAGTCAACTGAGTATATAGATAAAGCAGTAGAAACAGTATCATTATTAACGCAAGGGTTCTCTCAGAATTCTGTACCCGGTGAAGAGATAGACTTTGTTACCAACAGAATCAAAGGTGTCATACAGAACCAGGATGCCAAGTCCATGTTAGGAAATACTGTTGAAATGAAGGATTCCAATTCATATCTGAAAATTCCTAATGATATAAATGCACTCTTCCCTGGTGGAAACAAAAATGAAAATGATTCTCTCGTTTTACAAGTAAGTGATAAATGCAAGAAAGACACACGGAAATTTAACTTATTCAGAATAATCCATGACGCAACAGTACGATAAAGATAAAAATGTCAGCATCGACCAAGGGACATCTTCTCAATGTCGATCTATTACCATCGGCTTATACCTTGACTCTAATAACCGTCTCTTTTGTATCACGGAAGTTTGTAAATTTAGTGATTTGATTGGATAGCACGCCACAAATATAACAAAACAGAGGCCTCGACTAAAGTCTGTTAACACAAAGCCAGAATGACATTCTTTCTGTCGAGGGCTGTACAAGCCAATTAAATCGCTTCATTCCTTGATGCAAAAAAATGGGATATAAGCCGAAGGTAATAGCTTGACATTGTGAAGATGACCAAGGCATACATATCATGTTTATTTTTCAGTTCTTACAAACTGCCAGTTTACCATACAAGTACTCGGAACATTCTGATGATCTTGGTCCAACAACTAATGGTTTGGTAATAGACATATTTGACGAAAATGGCAATCCCCAAATCATCAAAGACCTAGCAACACCTTTTGAATTTACAATTGAGAAGGATAAAAATTCACCGCCGACTGAATTCAAGACAGCAGATCCCTTCATTGTAAAATGGGACTATTTGTACTACCATAAGATGAACATATCTAAAAAGGGAGCTTCACTACACGTCCAATTCAATGTACAAGATATCAGTTTGAAATTTCTGGTCCTTGTTAGATTTGGTGATTTCCCAAGTATTCCAGAAAAGCTCTTTGATTTCATGGGAATCATTCCTGATAATTCTGGTGAGTTCTATCACACAACCTACGAAATCAATTTAGTGTAAAAAATTCTCATAAATTTATGATAACCACGAGGGAACTTTTAAATGTAGCCTATTTTTAAAAAAAAAAAAACTGGTATCAAGCTCATCCAAATTTTCATTTCATATCTCATCTCTTTTCAGCTGTCGATCCATACCGATATACCTATTTCTTGGATAACAAAAAGATCAATGATTATATTGGCACAGTATATATTGGTGTCAGACAATTAGATCCATCAGAATATACAGCTAACTACCAAACAGCTCTCGACTTACCAAATTATGAAAAAGGAACTGGAAACCCATCAGAGAAATATAAAATACGTGTATTTAGTACTGGGTGTTATTTCTTTGATAAAGACATCAATGACTGGTCTTCTAAAGGATGTTGGGTAAGATACCAATGTGTTACTCACATTTAGATGTATTCTTGAATTTCTTCGAGAATTGCAAAGATATTGTCTTATTCCTTTGTGGGGTTACATTTTGTTAAATTGTCGTTTAATAAATTATCTCATTGTCGGTTTGTCCTTGCGAAAATTTATGTATCATCTACTGCCCATTCGACATGGGAGCTTACTAAATGTCGTTGTCATGGTTTTAGATGTAAAAAATATTTATGGTTTAATTTACAGGTCGGCCCCAAAACAGATGAACTTGTAACTCACTGTTTCTGTAATCATTTAACAACATTTGCTGGTGGTTGGGTGGTGGTACCAAATACCATTGACTGGAACTTTGTGTTTTCCAATTCTGACTTTTCAAAGAATCCGACTCTGTATATAACCGAGATAGTCATAGCTGCATTGTATTTGATAGCTGTGATCTGGGCCAGAAGAGAGGACAAGAAAGATATAGAAAGGGTGAGTATATTTCTCATCATTGTCCCATAGATTTCTATGCTCGTCTTATAGTATAAGAATTATATAATTTTCAAACCAAACTGTCCTGCTGACAGATATGTATGTTTTAAAACAATTTCAGCAGTTTGTCTATCAGAAGGTTTTTTGGACCCAAAACATTGTAATTACAACACTAAGAAACCAATAATCTCCATGAAATGGCTGCTGAAGAAGTGTTCAAAAGTGCACATGACATCTGAATATGGTAATCTAAAATTCTACTTTCAGCTTGGACTCACACCGTTAAAAGATAATGATCCACGAGATAAATACTACTATGAAGTTTGTGTTGTTACTGGAATGAGACGAAATGCTGGAACCGATTCAAAGGTAAAGATGTCTGGTTGTTTATTGCTATTGATTTACTAAAAAATGCTTTTGGAAAGAACAAAATATAGTCTTTATTGTCAATGTCATGCAAGAAGTGTTACACTTGAATACGAACAGTGTAATTGGATGTGGTTGCCCATCTAACGAGACGAATGCAACGATCTTGTCGGCCAACCATATGATTGACGATATGAAAATCGGTGTTTTTTGTATTATAGGTATGCTTTATATTGTCTGGTGAATATGATGAAACTGATGTTAGAATGTTTAGTGATGATAAAAGAAAGATATTCCGTCGTGGCGCTGTTGATGCGTTCTTAGTGGCTGTGCCCAGGTATGTTAAATATTTTCTTTATTTTAAGAAAAATTAAGTTGACATCATGTTTGAAATCTCTATAGCTGAATACTGAATAATTGTCAAATTGTAATTTTGGATATCGTTTACATTGCGGATCGTTAGAGACTGGATTTACTGCTTCTTTTTATCTGCCAATATGATTCTCCAAAAATAGGAAGATGATTTGTCTTTGCCAACTAATCTGACAATCCTGTAGTATCATATAATTTTAATGCAAAGCTGTTACTTGAAATAAACTTCCTTTCCAGACCACTTGGAACATTAAATTACGCTCGAGTATGGCATGATAATTCTGGAAAAACCAAGATGGCATCCTGGTATTTGAAGTATTTGTTAGTACGTGATGTACAGACTAACCAACGTTTTGTGTTTATCAGTAATAAATGGTTTGCTGTAGAAGAAGATGACGGACAGGTTGGATTTTGACATGTCATTTTTATTTTACTTAAATTTAAATCATTTCTGCTTCATAATACAAACATGTTTCAAAGGAATTTTGATTGGAGCTTGTTATTCAAATCATGAAATCAGTTGTAGCTTCAGACCCTATTTCTGTTCCTCAATACATTAATATTGGCTGCAAACTCTGTACTGTTAATATAATGAGGCTGGTGGCTACTAGAACCATAAGCAATTACGCTTTTCCACATTTCAGGTAGACAGAGTTATCCCAGTCGCTGGGAAAGAACAAATGACAGAGTTTGGCCATTTATTCGCAGAGAAATCTAGAAAGAGTTTGGTCGATGGGCATCTTTGGTTCTCGGTGGTAGCAAGACCAGCTAACAGTAGATTTACCAGAGTACAGCGTGTATCGTGTTGTCTATTGCTACTATTTGTTTCTATGTTGGGAAATGCAATGTTTTATGGTCAAGATTTAAGCTCGTCTACTGCCTATAACTTTGGTCCGTTTGCTCTCTCTCCTGAACAGGTAGGATTGATTTGGATTGTACTCACTCCAATTAACTGAATTAAATCAAATATTTGACAATATACAATCAGATTATAAACGCTGCCGTTTATCTGCCAAGAAATACTTTGTTTTTACACTTTCTCGAGATAAACTGTTTCAACTTTTATTCCTTTCAGATATTTATTGGTATTGCAGTAAATCTAATCGTGTTCCCTATCAATTTCTTGGTTATTACGCTGTTCAGAAAATCTCGCGCCAGGAAAATGAGACCATCCAGAATAGACGAAGCATTAAAACGTAGCGGTGTAACCCCAACAGCAGATAAACCTAGTATGGAAGGAGTATGGACTAGTCAATCACCAACAATGATGGATGAAAAACGAGCTGGCACATCAGCTTCCATGAGACCAGAAACATCCTTCTCATCTGTATCGAGAATGGGAACTCAGCAATATGAGGCACTGAGATCGGAGAAAAAGAAGAAAAAGAAGAAGTTTGAATTCCCATGGTGGTGCAGTATTTTGGGATGGGTTGTTCTGTGGATTGGTGTTGGTTTATCTTTGGCGTTTGTCACATTTTATGGTATCACGTTCCAAGATGAAAAATGTAAGAAGTGGATTACGTCGATGTTGATGTCCTTTTTCACGTCTGTCTTCATCACACAACCTGTGAAGGTGTTCCTTACGGCCATCTTCTTCTCGCTTGTTGTGAAGAACCCAGGGGAGGAAGAGGAAGACGAAGTAGAAGATGAGGAATCTCATAAACTCGCTTCGGATGAGGAGTTCTTACATTTTGAAGATGGTAAGTTTAAGAAAAATTTATTGTAACCTACCAACAATGGATGAAATATACAGTTAATCGAGTTTAAAGATATCTAATTCTTCTTTAGTATCCTTTTATCATTCTTAATTTCTAATTTTAGGTTACGGTGCAACTCGACCACGAAAAATAGGCTATAAACCACCAGACCCTGCTGAACTGGAGAAAGCTAGAATTCAGAGATTGAATGAAATCAAGATGTGGGAAATCATTAGGGAGATTGTTTTCTACAGTTTCTTCTTGTGGATATTGATGGTGATCAGTTATAGAAACAGAAGTCCACATGGTTTTACCTATAAAAATAGTCTGGTGAAAACATTTGTAGATAACAATGATACCAAACAATGGTTCTCTAAGGTTAGTTTGTTGTCTGAGCCAGTTGCACCAAGGATTAATTTTGGATATGTTACTCATGTGATTATCGCTCTTATATATATATATATATATTTTGAAATTCAGGCCTAAGCACTTTTCATTAAGTTGCGATGCTGAATTTTACTTCAGCCTTGGGTAACTCTGTCTATAAATTTTCATTAAAGGGACATGGCCATTTGTTTGACCAATCATACCTTAGACCTTAAAAACTAGATTTTTAGCTAAGCTATTCGTTAAAGTGTTCACAGCTCACCATTATAATTTGAGCATTTAAATCCATGTGTGTCCAGAATTATTTTCGTTTGAAATTTGAAATAACGACTCGTCTTATCTTGAAACATATTATTGAATGGACATAAATAGAATTAGACAGTAAAGTTTGGGGTATATTTTTGTGCAATTCTAGTACTTCTGTAGACTATTTCTATATACAGTATATTCAAGACCAAAATCAACCACCGAAAATGGTGAATCTGTCTCTTTAATCTTCATTAAAGTAATTTGGTGATTTCATAAATGACGGGATTATCTTTGAACAGGTAAGAAATACTGCTGAATACTGGAAATGGTCTCAAAGTGGTTTACTAAATGGTATAAGAGCTAGTAACTATTATAATTCAGACCCACCCCTATTACTACGTGGTTTTGTCAATGATAAAGTTTCCAGAATAATGGGTTACGCAACTATGAGGCAGCTTCGTGTAAAACCTGGTAAGAATTGGTTTAAACTCTTTTCTTCTTCTGTATTACTCTCAGATTGTGTCTCGCAATTACCTCGGTATTAAAAATGGTCAAAGTAAAAAGCTTCTGTGATGCTGCAGCTGTTTCTGTTAGCTGCGGAACGAATGTAAATATCAAGAGAAGAAATCAAACCCTTCTTCATTAGAACAAAAACCCTAAAGGTTCACAAAGCAATTTGAAAATGCCTTACCAAGCTCTGAATTGTCAATGTTGTATTTCATAGGTCTGTGTGAAATTAGAGGAGTTATGAATGGTGTTATACCAGAATGCAATGAAGCTTATTCCTTTGAGAATCAAGATGAAGGTACATACCTTCCAAGATGGCAAAAACTAGCTAGCGGCGAGTCCTATAATGATACCTCAAGACCATGGAGATATACTACAGCAAATGAATTAAATGGCTATCCTTACTGGGGTAAACATGAAATGTATAGTGGAGGTGGCTATGTAGTGCAGCTTAGAGGATCCAAAGATAGTGTCAGAGATGTATTGAAGGAATTAGAAGATGATGATTGGATTGACCAATATACAAGAGCAGTTTTTGTTGAATTTACCATCTATAATGCCCAAATTAATCTATTTGCCATTGCAACCATTGTTGCTGAATTTGATTCTGCTGGTGGTGTAACAACATCACATAGATTTGAACCTGCTCTATTACTACCTTACATGTCATCGGTAATGTTATTCCAGATTGCATGTGAAGTGATATATCTAATCTTTACCGCATGGTTTATCATAAGAGCTTTGAAAGCTTTTTACAAGGAACGATTTGGGTATTTCACACAATTTTGGAATATAATAGAACTTGGTATAATTTCTGCATCATTAGGAGCTGTTATCATCTACTTCTATCGTCTATATGTGACCAATGATCTAACAGCTGTATTTGCTCGATCACATGGTAACGAATACATGAAATTTCAATATGTTGGATATTGGAACGAGGTCTTCTCTTACATGATTGGTTGGTTGGTCTTCTTTGCCACCTTGAAGTTCCTCAAGCTCTTGAGATTCAACAAGCGGATGGCTCTGGTTGCTGCAACACTTAAGAACGGTTCCAAGAGTTTAATGCATTTTGGTATCATTTTCCTGATTGTCTACATGGCCTTTATGCAACTCTTCTACTTGACGTTCATGAATCTCAGCACAGCTTTCCAAACATTTATCAACTCAATGGAATCTGGTGTATTGATGATGATGGGTAAATTTGATATCTACAGTATGGCTATGGTTGAGCCAGTACTGACACAGGTATGTCGTGCTATCCTACACAGACCCCTATTCAAGAACAAATTTGATTAGTCAAAATCCATTACAATTCAATGTTCATTGCATCTACGGTTAAGCGATATGCCACGTCTTGGAATTTCGGAGTTTTTTTCCGCGGTTTTGCTTGTTGAAGATGTTTTTTGTTAGCGCTCAGACAATACTTTGCAGTTACTCACCACAATGTCTGTTGTGTCAATAGTCATTGTTACACGTTATTTATTTTCCTTATTTCAGATCTTTGTTTTCTTCTTTGTGGTTACCATTACCTTTATATTGGTGAACATGTTCCTCTCTATTCTCAATGAAACATTTGGAGCTGTACGAGAAGATATTAACAAGGTTAACAATGATTATGAAATTGTGGATTTTATGGTAGGAAGATTCAAGCGATGGACAGGTATTGGAGCTGCTCCTGCCAACACTCTGGAACCTTCTAATATAGGAGCTGATGGCAAACCTCAAGACAATGTCAATAACTTCCCAGACCGTATTGATAAGCTTCTGACTTCTATTTCCAATATCTATATGGATGAAGATGGTATTGCTAAACGTATGAATGCTAAGGAACAAGCTGCAAATAAAGCCAATATGAAGGGAATGTTAAGAGGAAGTAGTTCCCATAGCGGACTGGCGGAAGTTGATAATTAGTTTACTGTTATTTGTTAAGTTTAAATTATGAAGATTGTTTGATTATTGCAAGTTACCCTACATATTAATTATTTTGTGATCATATGCCAAAAATAAACAGTTAAATTAATTCAGATTTCACGTTAGTATTTTTCAGTATCGCTTATTGCAAGAGTTAATTTGGTTGAAGTTATGAAATTTAAATTATAAACATCTGAATTATTTAACTTTATGTAGATAGACAAATAACTGTTGTAAAATTGTTGTTAGAACGAGGAGATTCTTTCTCTTGATACTGTTAAAGTCAATGTCAACACTATACATGAAGTACCCAAAAATGAATACAACCATCCGTCCATCTCCTCTTTGTGAATCGGAATAAAAGATACGAAATTTTATCGAATTGGTAATATTTTATACTAGTGATATCTATAAAATATGTATCTATTAGCGCATAATGCAAATTTTCAGAACGCAATATACCGAATTCTCTTTTTTCTTCATATTTCTGCGTAAGTTTTTTTAACTTCTATGCATTTCCGTCCACTTAATTTCCCGTCCAAAACGATTTTCTTCTCTCGTCCATGAGGATTTTTTTCAGGAAAAACTGCAACATTAAGATTTGCTCAAAACTTAATTTACTGCTGTGGGATTCTATATGTCTTATACACACTGCTTATTTACTTTTTACTATATACTGACTTATTATGGTACTTTTGTATCTATTGACTAATTGTGGTCTAAACTGCTGTTCTTATCTCTATATAACTTTGTTGTCTCTTGTCAATTATATTTTAGTTACTATTGTTGTATTTGTATGTTGTAAATTGAAGATAATTTGTTGGCCTTGTTATAGTGCTGAAACCTGTCTTATCGATTCCGTCCAATCTTTAAGAAATATGAAGGAAAGTTGTAATAAAATATTGTGTGCAAACAAACTGTCGTGACTTATGCAGCCCCATACATGTATTAGTCAATCATTGGTAGCTGGCAGGGACTGGGGTCTCAGTTAGGACTCGAATCTCTCACAATTTCCTTTTTTTTTAAACCTATTTAGATACCTCGGATCTGAAAAAGATCTTTGTAGTAAAGTCATGCCATCATTTTTTCCGTAAACCAATATGTCACGTGTGCGGTTCCATCAGAGTTTTTTTTCTAACGAAACCAATCTCACATCGGCCATTTAAAACGATGTTTGAACCAAAAGTTCAAACGTTATAGAGTCGCGTGATACTAACAAAACGATGCCCAAGACTAATTTACAGTTATCGTAAAGGTAATTTAATTTTATGTCAGAAAAAACACATCTTTGGAAGTGTGGCAATTCTCCATTTATGGCCTATTTTTCTGTCGCCAATGTCAGACCTAATAAAGTAACTACTGTATCTCGCCAATTCGGTAAAGGAACTTATACAATAAAGCATTAGGTACGTCCCGTGTACTATAGGCCTAGATTACAAACAATTACCCGCCCAACCCTTTTTGAAAAATATTATCACACTGTAAATATAGTTTATAACTACTTTGTTAAGTCCTTTTACCCGAGGAATGAATCGTGCTCAGTGTGTAGTACAATAGTGATTTGAACTCTCAAACTAAAACCATTGTTTCTAGGCCTTGATTAAGGGACGATTTCTCTTCAGTAAGAGAGTTCTAGGTAACGTTTTGCCAGGCCAGAACTTACAGAAATAAAATTATAAGTAGGTTTTATGATAACATTATTTAATAGTGAATCTAAAACTAGAAGATAAATGACAATATAAAATTAAATTAACAAGACAGTTCATATCAACAACTACTTGATTATATATCAAATCATAACTAATTTCATAATTAGTTGATAAAAAAGGCGAAATTGGTGAAATATATAATAGGAATGTTTCTTTTCTCAACATATCTGAGAGTTAGACAATTATTAACTTGCAGGGATATATTCAGAATACAAATGCATCTTTTTCTGAGGTGACAGAGGAAGTGGGATTTAACCACGTTCCGTTTACGTTCCGAGCTCTAGTCTAGTCCTATCTAACCCTCAAAGGCAACAATCGAAGCAGTTTAACAAAAAAGGTACAAAAATAAATAGAAGCACATAAAAATCATGTATTTAGATACAAAGTTGAAAATCTGAATGTTTTCCATATAAATCTACAGCAGTTTGATATCAAAGTCGAAAAATCTATAAAATTATTGAATTCAAAATGTTGAAAATATCAGGGACGAAAATAATTGCTCAAGAAAACATTACAAAAGTATTGCAGTTGGTTTTGATATTTGTAAGTTTCGAACATTTGTGGGTTAACTACGCCCCAGATCTAAAAACTGAGTCAAACATGAATAGATTATTTTTTGTTTGCATAAGTTCCTGCATTTTTATAATTTCCGACATAACCAGTATTAACAACCTCGTCTTTTCTACCACTGCCTCCTTTACCTTTACCATCAGCATCAAATCTTTCTTTATGAGATCCAGTATAACCTGATGCATCTGTTAATCTGTTTACTACAGCTGCGTCTTTGGCCTATAAAAATAAACAAATTTAACATTATCCAGCAGAGTGACCTCCAAAAAAGATGTCAAGTTGACAATCCCAGTGGCGGAATGGCATATAGAGTAAAAATTGTTAAAATAAATTCATTGTCGGCCTTTTGGTGTGCAATATACAAGTCGGCAAAACGAGCTATATAGACTAGAATAGGATTTCGAGTTAAAGTCTTAGAATGGCACGAGGTGTTTCAGAAAGTTGAGCAGTCCCACGCTAAGTACCAAATAATCAACCATTAAAATCAACAGAGTTAAATATCGATAAATTATTTCCAAAAACACTGGACTATAGTTAAAGATTCCAAACAAATAACACATACCACTTTCTTTTCTTTATTTAATTCTTTTTTGATTCCCTCTAACAATTTTGTTTGGTATTCTTCTTGAGTAGTTCCCTTTTTCTTTAAAGCTTCGATATTTTTTACAGCATAACTGGCTAATTCGGGAATAAATGTTGTTTTAAAGGTTTCTTGAGACATTTTCTTCCTAAAAGGACATGAAACGAACTGTTATTAATAGTTGAGAAAAATTATTTCCAATTCTGTTGTTATCTCCCTTTGTTGAGAGAAACTCATACCTTTGTAACACGCGTTACAGTAGACACAGAAGATTTTCATAACTACGTTTATGCTCCAATTCAATGAAAATTAAGAACATACGATTAAATATAAAATGGACAATATAACATTAGACCAGCTCAGACTGCGTCAAAAATATTGGAATATATCATAGGTGTGACGTACTTTTTAGGTGCTTTTATAATATAGCATACCAGTTGCTTATGGATGCGAATAAGGTCCGAACGCAACTCGAATCACAACTCAGTTGCATGAAACCTACGTTCGAAACTTATGACCACTATTCTTAATCGCAACCATACGCAACATGATCCGATGGTGTGAGGGTTCCTTTAATGTACAACTTTAGCACAAGCATTCGATTTTGAAAACAGCATGCTATAAAACCTTTTTGGGGTTTTCTAGAAACATCCCAGACAAATCTTTCTTATTAGTTATTACAAATATCAGTATCAGAGAACACTGACAAATTGAAGTTGGTGTCAATTAAAAAGTAACTTACGTGGTTCTATCAGACAATTTTACAATAACTGAATTTTCACAGAATCTGGCATTAGCTGCTCCCATAACAGGTTCAACCATCTTCATGACAGCTTTACCAGTAGCAAACTTCAATTTCTCTTCCGGTAATTTTTTAGATCCAGCAGCCTGAGATTCGAGATTACACCTCTCAAAATATTTGGCCAAATTATCCATATCTTCACTACTTAAAGAACTTGAAGCTGCCATTTTCTACAAAGAACAATAATATAGCATTCAATAAATAGGACACTTTGATACATGCCTTCATCCTTTGCCTTTGTTGTTGTTATTGTTACTTATATATCTTAATTTGGTATTTGTAGTCATTATATTCCTGATGACAGTGCGAGAACCACAACATTGAATACAAAAAATATTCTAGAAGACAGTATCCCACCATAAAATTGAATAATCTAAAACTTGTGCTTATGCCATTGAAGGATTAATAGTATTAAAGTTAACTCATAGACCTGTATCTCATCTGAACTTAATTTGATTTACTTGAAATTAAGTCAGCATTTAATTTGCTACAGCTGTGTATTGAATTTGAGCTCTTTATGTATTCTGCCTGGATATATTCTCCCCATGTCAGTGTTCGGATTGTCTTGTCTTTCGGTATTATAATAAATTAATTTCTACCAGTAATATATAGGCCTATACATGGATTGTAATTGGGTTTAAATCTGTTCAATGAGATTTAGATATTATTAAATTATGTCATTTTGAAATAAGAAATAATATGAAATAAAAATATTATTCCAAAAGGGGATATGGGTGTAGTCGTAAATCTGTTGTAACTCCTGCAATGACCTTCTTTGACACTGTGAATTTATTGACTTTGAAAATTGCAGACAAAACGGAATCAATGTAACCGCGTCTTCTCAATGGCAAGCAATTACGAAAATAGTCATTATATCTTGACTGTAAATTGGAATTCTTGTATAACAGTATGAGGATTTTTGATTGAATTGTATGCCAGCGAATATGGCCAATCAGAGCCTTCGACAGGAAGCCTGCAAACATTATGGCTTTGTCTTCACAAACTTTCTGTCGAGGTCACTAATGGTTGTATTCGCTAGCGTACAACCAAATCAAATCGCTTCATTTACAAACTTCTATCATGCAAGGTAGGTGACAATTGCCGTCAAGATATAAGTACGAAGTTCGTATAATACCTTGGCATTGTGAAGATGATATTACCGATGCTTGCAGTATATATATAAGTATAGGGTATTATTATTCAATCTTACACAGCATGTGAGAACACGTTCTCTTCTGTTCATTCATATGAAATTTATCTGGGCGTGTTCTTTAAAAATAACACCATCCTTCTTGTAACTAGGTCGACATTTAGTCAAGTTACAGTTCTATATTTAATCAAGCATGTGAAGCTATTGTGTAGAGGAACTTGAAGATCGACAGATCGAGTCCTGTTTGTGTATGATATTAACTGTGAATCATATGTATATAATTGTCAACAAGACCTGTTTGAACCTTGATTAATGATTTTCAGCAGTGTTTTGGTTACGTATTAGTTACGAATAATTTATGGCCTTGTTACGATAAACTGCTTCAATAATGCATAATATCCTATAGACTCTCAACTATCAGTGGCGGCGCCAGCTTCCTCGAACTGGGGTACAAATAGAGGGCAGACTGACTTCATGAGGGGAGAACTGTCGGGATGGACAGTTCAAATAAGAAAGCGCATAGGCGCAAGCCTGTCATGGAGGCTTTGACAAATTAAATTGAATTCATGAATACTGACATATATTTAGGCCAAAAATTGTTAATAGTTTATGCGAGGCGAAAGATCTGTAACAGAGTATGATTAGGTTATCTGGTTATTCGTTTAAATTTACGAGACATTAATATCTAATATGACCATTTTGTAACCAAGAAAATATGTTCATTGTGTTCTATGCAAATATTGTATACAAAAAACATTGTATAGTTGGGTCATGAAGAATTGAGTCATTTGTAGTTTTAAGTATATGCATAACTTTAAAATAAATTAATTGTCATTGTGGTTCCTTCGGTATTCGTTTTTTCTTGTTAGCAATTTATCTGGTTTAGGTTCATCCTGAAAGATGCTATTGATAGTTGAAATTGAGCTCCTTTAAAGGTTTAAGACTGTAAATTAAACGAGTATATGAGCACGGCAGATAATGTCATATCAACATAGTTTTAATATAGATACGAATGTCATGACCTTTCACCTTTCAAAATAACCTAACCAAATATTTCCAATCTTAGGTTAAGTAGTACTCGACAAATTTTTTTGTGAATCAAAGTTTCTATAAAATCACCGTCTGCCATCCTTTCACCCCTCTCATGTAAACATAGTACGTAATAATGTCAACAAACTGTTTTGTAACTTACGGACTATAAATGGTTACATTCAACTCAGTCTCAACCCACTTTCAACTACCTCGATAACACATTAACTAACGTATTTCCTTAAAAGCCTATTTATTCTGTGCAGTCTTTAAAAGTTACCTTCTATTTTATGTCATAATAATAGCAAAATACAAGCTTTTAATTAAAATCTAATGTTACACTAACGATAGGATAGAGAACCTCAACCTTACGAGCACAAAATGATTTCGAAGTTTAAAAGTTTATAACATTTCGAAGAAACAAATTTTCGATTATATTTTAAAAATCCAAAAAATAGCTGATGATCATGACTAATTAAAAGGGATTGTAAAGAGGTTTTATGTGTATTGCATCAATTTCCACCAATCCATGATACTATCAATGTAATCGATACACATAAAATCTTAAGAAAGCCTCTTTACAATCCCTTTAAGGGGCAAAAAATCTATCAGATAATAAAGGTATAACACAGAAGTCGTTTCAAAAACCAGACTGCTTATCTGTTTCAATGGCAATAAATATATCATCATAGAAAAACATATCAATTAGATTAGATTGTTAGTAGATAACAAGTTTCATTATAGATAATATTGAACCTATATCTATTTCAACTCTCAAAAGACCTGTATTTATTTTAGACTACACAAATCTATAGTCACGATCAATAATAGTTTGTACAAAACATCATCACCACAAACCAGAATAATATCCCCAATGAAAGAAAAATGTCATACTTTTATTGCATTACCAATCAGAAAAAGAGAGAATACAAGTATTTGGTATCAAAAGGTCGCATACTCGAACCCTAACTCCCACTTTCAAATTGCTATTTTGTCATTGTATAATGCCCTCTTTTTCGATTATAGTAATTAAATTGTGAATCCTTATGCTCAAACCTAGTATGACTAAATTTCATATCATACTCTATTCAGCAATAATATTGTTCTGAATAGGCTAAAATACTGTAAAACATTTATCCACAGTTATACATTATATCGATAATTTACATGATAATCATAATCTAAAACTTAACCAAAAACATAATATTACAATTAATGCTCAAGTATGTAACTCAAACATTAATGCATAATGAGTGATTCCTAAGTAGGTGTTAGTGTCAACTGTTTGCCCAACGTCTAAAACACCATGCCAGGTGTTGACACCGGTACTCACATCGGTGTGAACTCGTGTTTATTCGGTAGCAGGTGTGGACTAACTTTATCTGAAAACTATAACACCAGATTCCCAGTACTTACCCATCACCTATAACACGAAAGCAACGGAGTTATATTGAAGGAGAGTTCCTGGAAATGCCACACAGCTGCACCATGACTAAATTTTGCAATAAGTCTGGTGTTGACCAATACAAAAGCCCAATAGCTTGCAGCAGATACGGTTAAACTCAACAACCGACATGACATTGGGACACTTAAAACTTCGCTCGAAATGTGGTTACACACGTGTTAACACCAACGTGACCTAGGCCAGTGCTTTATTGAGACTCGCGACTGTGTTAATACCAACTGTGATATTAAAATACAAATTTCCTAGAAAAAATGTATACAATACAGTCGTACGTAAATAAATGTCAGGAATCGTGCAAACTGTATAGGCCGCATACATAGAAACTCATTCAAGTATATAAGGGATAATCTTTTAGGTCTGTACTTCTAAGAAAGATTTAATCTCAAGACAAAACATACATGAACTACTAGTTTGTGATAATGCTTTAGTTCTATCGATTCTTCATATATTATACTTACATAAAGTTTAAGTATGATATATATTGGACCAACAGTATAGACTCCTTAAGCGTGAAGTGGAAGTTCTATTCAGTATTTTGAGAAAGGTTTATTGACTTTAGTCCTAACATATTATAGATTATTTCTTTATATAGTGTATATTTACACACAATAATGGTCGTTCAATTACAAACCCATTCTATATAATACATTAAGAGTATATTACTATAGTCGGTGTAATGAACTATATATATGCACAATATTCTGTGATAGAAATCAATACGAATGGTCCGTATAATATTGTTAGACATGTCCGAAATGACTAGCTTAGGTCAATATAAAAATGATCGCTGATATCTAAACTAAAGCTTACAAATTTTTGAAGTAAATCAAATACGCCAATATTCTGGTTAAAGAAAAACAAGTTCGGTATGGAAACGTGGCATGTCCTTCGTCATACCCGAAGCAATTATTGATATGTAGATCTACAACAGTTTATGTTATCCTATTCTTCACAATGACCAATATAAATTATGATAATGTGTAATTAATGTGACCTATTTAGAATACAATCAATAGTTCCTGGATCAGCATAATTTATAAACTTGTACGATGCTTTATAACCAATGCTGCTGCACAGTGAATTGTTTATTGTGTAATGATTTGTTGAGAAGTCAAGCCTGATTTCCCAGAACGCGGTTATCTATGTCATGGACCAGCTCACAAATCTTTATTCCTGACATCTTTCGCTTCAGCCTTCCTGATATTTGCTGCTGTCAAGAAATTTACAGCAATTGACAGATTTCTTTGTTGTAATCATAAATACATTTACAAATCATATTATCATACTAAAGTGATACTTACTGCAAACTTTGTTTTGCTTTCTCAATGAAGAAAAAAGTGTTAAGTTGTCCTTCTTGCACTAGCCGTACAGGATATGTAGATATAAATCTGTTGAATACGAATGTATAGAGAGAGCGCGCGCGTCACCAATGTAAACAAAAATGAATTTAGGTTTGTTTAGTCTTGTTGCCCAGAAGAATCACGTGATATGATCAAAAATATAATTAAATTCCACTATATTAGATATAATAATCTTATTCAACACAAGTTATAGGTTTATAGTTCGATATAATGTGACCGAAAGTTCAACTGGCAACTGTTATAATGTAGAGGATATTAATACTGACTCATAGCTTTCTCGTAATTTTAAGTCGGTCTTGTATTATATGAGTAGGTCAGATGGGTGTGAGCCGTGCTAGAAAGAGAAACATAAACGTGATACTTTGAAATATTTACTCTCCACACGAAATTACTGTACATTTCATCAATGATATCATCTTAAAGTAGTCGAGTCATCAAAAAGAGAGATTGTCGAGAAGGCAACGTGTGTTGAAACTTATTGACCATTTATGGTACTGATACGTTGCCTTAATTTGTAAGATAAAACTTTGATAAAACCTCGATCACAAAGTAGGCCTAGATAGTATCTAATTAAACTATTAAAGAAGTATTATCCTCTTAAGCACCTGCCATAACTTTCAGATTTCATGTGAATTTGTTGTAAGCTTACCAATATATTTTGCGTTCACTTAAGTTGCTTAACATTTTACTCAAGGTTGGAATACGTTGGTATGGTACAACCTTGTTTTGATAATTGCACAATTCCACAAGCTTAAACGTTAAAAAATGAACTCAACACCTTGGTAACAAATGAACCTTGTAACAAATAAATCAAACTGATAAAGATAAACTTAATATCAACAGTCGATCACGATAGAGATTTATCGGTAGTTATTTAAATGAAACTGCTTTTATTCATCCAAATGAAGACGATCGAGTGCCTCACGATAAACCATCCAGGGCCGAGTTTCACCGCCATGTTATTCGACCTGACCAGATCTCAGAATTATCAACTATCAAACCAACAGTACAGAATCATCCACTTTGAACGAATCCAACTTCAACTCACTACCAACAACAACCTAGTTTGCGTTATCAGCATCCGCTGGAAGCGAACGTTTAAGTTGTCATCATTCTAATTGTAGGACATGTAACCGTTTGAGTTGATAGCCTACTGCGTAGAAGATCACGGTTAGCTACAGAATTTCAGAAATTTGGCCGCATTGAATATCTTTATTCAACGTAATGAAAATCTTATCCTCGTTTGTCCATTGAACGCGAGCCAAACATGATTCCAAAAACGATAACTGTTTTATTGAACTCAGTCTATCTGAGATAACTTGGCAACAACTTGCCTAATAAAACATTAAAAATCTATTTCATTGAAGGTTTCGGAATTGCTACATGAAATTCCAATAGCTGTTTCGGCTTTAATTACTTTATGAGAATTGTATGCATTCGACCGTAATTTGTATGTACTGTATTATATATACCATTCCTAGACTGCGTCCAAAAACATTGTTTTTATGCGAGTTAAGGCTACTAACTCACTGACGGAGTGGCAGGTGAGGTAGAATTGATTGTATCATGCACTTTTCATATTACTGTAGTTTAGTAACAACCCTTTATTACCCATAGATTGTTCTGGTGGAATGTTACATAATATATTCTTTATAGATATAATCCCAATCTAATCAAATAGATGTCTACACTGATTTTGACCCCACATGGTGTCATGAAATATAAAGTCCAGCTCACTGGTCGCTGGCTGAATTGGGCACGTTTGGTCATACATTATGCATTGTGAAATAGACTGGGTAGAATGGGGTCCTGGCCTCCGTAGTCTACAATATCAAGAACTCTCTCAGGAAACCATTTAGCATGTATGGCGCAAGGCTGTGGAAATCGCAAAGAAGAAACTCTGGATATTTTGAAGAATAGTAAGTCACTGGTTGATTAACTGACGATTACTGAAGCAAGAGTTACGCCAAACAAATTGTTTTCCCAGCAAATAAGTCAGATTAAACACCTTTCCGTGGATTCTTATATTTAAAACCCTTTCTCTTGAAAAACCACTTTGTTTTATCCTAAAATACGTATAACTTCTCTTATTTGAAGAATATTAGGATGGAAGAGGCGCCATAAATAATCCAATATTCAGGATTGAATGTAGTCTTATTACTCTCAGCCATCAACTTTAATATATATGACCGCTACTTCTAGTTGTATTGTTTAGTACTGACGAATTCAAGGTAAAGGATGCTTTATTGATTTAGACTATAAAACAATTTACCATGTTACTATGGCAGGGCAAAATAGTGAAATTCGCCTAACCGCACAATCTTGTCGGTAACCAAACCGCCTCTGGAACATTTCACTGTAATGCATGGCAGACATTATTTACCGGAACTATGCCAATATTGTTCATTCATCATTTAAATATCAGACGCTGGTAAACAGCTTAGTTTACATTTGTGCATCTTAAGCCATTGGAAGCCTTCACTTTTTGTTATATACGTTGACACTATTTTCTCCACATTGCCCATATTTTATTAATATTGACAGAACTTCAAGCGCATGTGACTCAACTTCACGGATACTGCCGGTGATAGTCGAATGATCGGTAACGGAAATGTGCGGATAAACGGGGCTCCAATGTACTTGCTAGGTAAAGGGAAACAACCCGGAAGACTAATGAACAAAATTCATCATTGATTCATTCATCTTAGATATGCCTAAGTTCTACAATTGGTATCTGATTTACCCATTTTAGTTTAGATCAAAATCCTGGAGTAGAATCTGCTGAATCAGTCCTGTACTACATAAAGGTTCTAGTTGAGTGATTGTTGCAGCTCCATTGTCAGACATATATACCGGTAATACAAATAAGAATAAAGATATTATTGACAACAATAAGGGGTTTACTATAATATTGCACAAATAAGAATATATCAGAACTTTATACTTATATGCCATAACAAGTCCCTAAAAACAAAGTTACTAATCACTGCTTTAAATGGAATCAAAGCAATATTTCAAAATAATACAATTCTTTAAAGTGATACTAGTCTTAGAATGAACATAATATTTAATTCTCAAGAATGGTCAATATGAGTATATATTCATCAGTGAACTTACCTGGTGTCATAAAGTTACAACAGAATCTCTTAAAATTTATAAAATTGTAAAATTCATAAAACTAAGTAAATGTTAAAAAATGCCATAATATTAAGCGTTTTTCAATAGTTAATTGCATTTTTATTAAGTTTTTGGATTTATCAGATTATATAAGGATCCTGTTATGTTATTTTTGACACCAGGTATATCTACTGATGAATATACGCTTTTATTGGCCAAGTTTAAAATTTTTAAATTTTATGTTTATTCTAAGACGTAGTATCCCTTTTAGTGTAGTGCAAAGCTGGAATTAATGTAGTAGATAATTTAAATGATAATGATACTGAACTGGTCATAGCAAGATATCAATTCCTAATATTTCACTTCAAATTCAAGAAGTTTGTATCCAAACACCTATGGACAAAATAAAGACAAAGCTGAAAAGAAAGCCAACAAGCTGCAAAAACAAAAGGTATGAAACTGCCTTATAGAGGATAATATTTAATGATACTGTATTAAGATTTCTTGGAATTACTCATCACTAACAAATATCTGAGCAATATCATCATGTTCATATGTTCTCTTTAAAAAGTTATCAGTTAATCTTAATCCACAAATTGATTGTAAGCCAGGAGTTACAGCTAGTAATGTCAAATGAATATCCATACTCTCATTCTGTGGTAATTTTCCTAACTGTTTACCTGATATACCACACCAGAGTAAACCAGTAGAAATATTTAAATTCTGTAAAACTAATGTTAAGTCCATTGTCCTTTCACAACAATTAGTTATTCTACATGTCACATTGAAAATTGATTCTAATTTGACACTATCTGGAATGCTTTCAATGGTCAGTTTAATATCACCATATCCTGGAGCAACTCTCTGAAGCTGACTTGTCTGTAGCCTACCCTTCTCTCCCATGTTGGTCTTCCAAACAATATCCAGCTTGCCTATATTATTCAACCCTTTCTTCTGTTTCATTTCTGAATGCAGTTCTGGTTTGGGCTTCAGACAATACAAATATTGCCTTGTGTCTGTTGGACTTAAATAATTTATACGACAAAATACTTCTTTATCTTCACCATCTTTATGAGTATTTAGTTGCTGGACTTTGTACTGAGCAGATGGTTCCAAACTAACATTCTCCATATAAATAGGAAATGGGGTTATGTTTTGAATTTGAGCTTCCAAATAAACTTCATCAGACTCAGCATTATAGAATTTGGTTTTAACATCTAATGGTTTCAGCACTTGGAATTTGAAAAATTTACGAAATGCAAGGTTCTCCCCAGTATTAGTAACATAACTGACAACACAGACTAAAATATGAGTTCCCAGTTCTTTGACTTCATGATGTATGACATCATCAATGCTATGGTCTGGTAATAGTTCTGGAACTGGCTGAGAATTTTTACTAGATAAAGACAATCTTTGAGAACTGGTTTGAAGGTCAGCCTTCAAAGTTATTTCCTTACAAACTTGATTGCTATCATTATGAACACTTATATAACTTGAAAAGGTTTCACCAAGTACAATGTTACCAAAGTTCTGTGGGAGTGTCAACAGGTCTCCCAAAGGAAAGTAACTCAAATCCCTTGGTTTAGACAAATCGTTCTGATTCTGAGATTGAATTTCTTTCCCACACAAATCATTATCGTCTGCGAGAATAAGGTTAAAGGGCATAAGGGTTGGTTTGGTCAATCTCATCACTTTTAGGGCCAAAAGCTGATCTCTATCTCTCGTCGGCTCCATTTTGTGAAGAATAAGTAAACAGGAAGTGGTATCATCAAGGGACACAACTCCACTTTACTTACACTTCGATTTGAATTTTACTTGAGGTTCAGAGAGGTGTTTTCGTATAGGCCATTACAGTTCTATAAAACACATTTCATGCCCACAAAACTTTTGGTCGGTACCTACTGCTTTCATCAGTTATTTTCATGTAAGCTACGGTTAAGTAGCCCCATCCCTAGTCAAAAACGTTAAAAAGCTCAACCCTTAGTCAAATACATCGAAAGTTGTAGTATGAGTAGGCATAAATGAGTATAAAACGAATAACTTTTTGTTGAGGTAGGGGCTTTTATCCTGGTGCAAAATTGCAGAGGGGCTCTTGTTCATCCACCCTGTAGCCCAAACTAAAAAAGACCTAATAGAGTATGCATACTGCACAGGATTAAGGCCTTACTGGTACTTATGAAATAAAGTTGCGTAATCAATTTCAAGGTAGGGAGTAGGGTCTGATCCAATCAGAGACACTGAAAAGGCATTAGTCATAAAGTTTGCTTTGCTCAACATTCCGAAACTTGAAATGGCGATGTTATGCAATGCTTTTTTCCTCAGCTTCCCTATTTCGCTTAGCAGAGTATTAACCAGCCTTTACAATCACTAAATATAACTTATATTAAATATATACTGATACATATCAAATACCAGTAATAAAAAACAAAATCATATTTAAATGAATTTTATTTTCATGTCATCTTCACAGAATCCTTAACCATCAGTGAAAAGTTACACATTTTCATCCGTCCCCTACCAGAAATATTATTATTATTTACATTAACTTTTTTTTAATAATCATCAATCTATGTACAAGGAATCAGAATCAGAATCAAAATCCTTATTATATTTGGTCAAACAATTCCTTACAAATAATCATAAAGCAATTAATAACCTAACAGTAACTTAACTAATGATTTAAACAGAAAAGTTATCATTCATATAAGGATTATGCTTTAAGACATTTCTACAAATAAAATCTTGATACAAAAGATAAATAATAACGATTAATGATTTATTGCCAAATGGCAAAAGAAAATAATTGAAGGTTAGCAAAAATCATTACCGATGTGCTGTGTATTATTGTGTGCAGATTATTTCTAAAATCTGACAAGGCAATTTTTTGTTATTGGTCAGATAATTCAGATTTTTACTGAAAATAATCAGACAGTTTTAATATGTCATAATTATTATAAATGTTTAAAAAAGAACTGAATGTTACATAATGTTCAGGACACTGAAAAACAAACAATGATGAAAAAACCTGTTAATTTGTGGTCAATGGGAGAATTATATTACAACTCTTACTATTCAGAAGCTTTTTTGCGTATTCACTTTCATATACATCAATATGTCATATTCAGTTATTGTCTGATGTCTGTCTATGACTCTCATAGTTCTCTCAAACAAAACATCAATAAATACAATAATAAAAACAATTTTTAAAACCCACTTAAATTTCATTATTGGGTAGAAAATATTTCATTAACAATAATAAAATCTTAACATAAATACAAAGATATATCAATATTAATATCCTTAAATCACAACTGGATTTGAGAAATAAAATTTGATATAGGTCAATACATATATCAATGGATCCCACCTATGTAAAAGAAAACTTTAGTTCATAAAATCTTTCAAAAGTTTTTCAGTTTTTATTTCAAGATATAAAGTACATCAAGTATTCAGAATTTCATAATGTCAATTAAATTTTTGTTTTTACCTTTGATCATGTTAGGGTTGTCAAATTTGCTTTGTCCGAAACTAATACTATTTCAAACTTTTGAAACTAATTTGATAATTTATTACAGTTTGAATGTGGAAATTAGTTGCATATATTAAGCATCAATATGCTATGTATCCAGAGTCAAACTACAAACATGATCAAAACTTATAGGCATTGTTACTAAATAATTAAAATTTATTCAGCCTAGAATTGTAGAAAAGATTACTTTTTGCCCCAAAACCATCCTTTGACTAATCCAGTGATGCCAGATCCACCACCAACCAGGTTTTGGTTCAATTTTTGGTCTAATGATGGTAATTCTACATGATTTAAAGCCAAATCAAAGAATAATGGTCTACTTGGTATGGGTTGGAACTCAGGAGGAAATTTAGCTATAGTCGGTTTTTTACTCAGTAGTGATTTATCTTCAAAATATTCATCTAATCTTTCATCTAAAGGCTGAAAATACAAATATAATTGGTCTTTTTTACTAACATGAAGAAAAAACATTTCACAAGCAAAATTTGATAACGTCTGACTCCAGATGATATTTTTATGCTGCCTTTCAAATCAGTGAAAAGTCATTTCTATTAAAGTTAGTCATCTGACTAATAGTGGAAATAAATGAAAGTATCGAACAAACAGTAAACGAGTAACCATGTCAAAGTATACTTCTTCAATGGCATAGTATAAGAAGCACAAGTTTTAGATAGATAAGACAATTCTATGGATTGATACTTGTAGAATATTTATTAATTTCAACATTTCGATCATTATATTCCTGATGAGCGTGCAAGAACTTCATTGAAATGTTGAAAGTAATAAATATTATAGAAGTATCCATCCATAAAATTGTCTTACTTATCATGTCACAAAAGAGAAAAGAAATTTTACCACATGTTGTAAATTGCCAGATGTAGAAGGTTGAAGTAATTCTGGACTATCAGAAGTAGTTAATATACTAGAAGCATGACAAGAATAAACCACACCATTTACTTCTTTTCTTAATTCTTCTAGCTTCTTCTCTTCTGTCTAATAATCAAAAAAATAACATCAAAATTAACTTTGTTCAAAACGATTTATGTAGATTTATTCATTAATGCAAAACAAATGTTTTATTTTAAGGACCAGATTTTTCAGCAAGGTAAAGCAAAAATGTACAACATTCTTTAGCAATGTAAAGCAAAAATGTACAACATTCTTCAGCAATGTGAAGCAAAAATGGAGAACATTCTTCGACAATGTAAAGCAGAATTGAACAGCATTCTTTGACAATAAGCAAAAATGAAGTAAATCAGAATCCGTACCTTAAATATTTCTTGTCCTTTCAATTTTTTATATCCTTCCAGAGCTTTTTTGATGTATTCTAATGATTTTTGATATAATGCTATTGCCTCAGTCCATTTCATACCATTTCCATAAGATTTACCAATATAGAATGTTCTGAAGTAAATACAAACACATGATGAGAATATGTATCATAATATACTCTTAGATGACTTAGGAAAATCAGATATTCAGAAATATATTTGGTAACATTAACTTTGTAACTTATTACTATCCATAACAGCTTTTGATTTTATTTGTTGACATGCGAATGATTACCTTTACTAACTTCTCACGAAAGTCGACAGAATAAACATCATTTATGAATAACCAACCAAGAACTTATCTTCATTACCTAAATGCTTTATATCCTAAAACTCTTGTATTTATCTCTTCTTCTAAATCTGTATCATCTTCTAATCCATTTAAATTAGGTATTTCACTCAAATTCTACAATTCAATACATACAAAAATATGTTATAGCATTAGGTTTCTACAGGATGCGAAATTTCACTCAGATTCTATGAAATGTTACAATTTGAATAACTAAGATGTTCACAAATGACGCTCTGTGTAACTAACACAGTTTTTTTTTTCTAAATATGGTTCAAAGTTGTTCAGAAATGACTCATGCAGTCGTTCACAAATAAGTCATTGTGTTGTTCACAAATGCCCTACTGGTTTTAAAAAGTGGTAGCACAGCAAAAACATGTTCAAGTCAAAAATGACTGATTTGTGTATTATCTCACCTGTATAATTATATCATATAACCGAACCATATCTTGAGGTTTAGTTATTTTCTTATTATCATCAACTTGAACTCCAGGTAAATTCTCCTTAGCACATTCTATTAAGATGAGGTTTCTCTCAATAGTTTTAGTTAATTTAATAAATGACAAGTAAGTATGTAGGTAATGATTATTACTGATCTTTCCTTCTACAGCTTGACCTCGTATAGCAGCTTTGAATACCTGTAATATAGCAATTTTTAACAGTTTCAATGAGAATCACTCATTATTGCAGTCTCTACGCATTTATCTATGTATTCATCTTTATCATGAAAGTGATCAATGATGCGACTATACAATTGGTAACCATGAGCGGATAACAGTAAATCATTAATGCCATATGATTTGTTTTGTTGAGAAACATGACTTGTAACTTAAAAGCAAGATTAAGTGTTGCTGATAAATGGTACACACATAAAAGCGATGAATTTTTATCAATAGAAGCATGAAACAGTACACCCACTGTAAAAAAAAATGTCACTTGGACCACCATAAGTTTTGATAAAGTTTTAAGTTTTCCAGCTGACATAAGCTTACCGGTAATAATAAAATGGTATAGGCACAAAATAATTATTTTAGACGAAAATATTGATGAAAGTTTATATTTATTAAAAGGACAGGTTTGCCATCTGTTTGACCAACATTGTACCTTAGATTCAGATACCGGAATTTTTTAGCTAAGCTTATCAGCAATGGTGTTCAGAGCCTCTGAATCCATGTGCTTCCCATATTATCTCAGACAGTTAAAACACGACTCATTTTCGTACATTTTTAGTGCTTCTTTACGATTTACATATATTCAAGATCCAAATCAGCCCCTCAAAATTAAAAATTCGGATAGTCTAGTACTTACTGGATCTTCCTGTAACACATCTCTCAAAGTCTGTTGAGCATCTATACATTGTTTAAATAATGATTCATATATAGACAATTTACTCTCTGAACCCTCTGCTGAATTTAACTCTGTAGAACTATCTTGTAAATTGAGGAGAAAGTTACGAACAGCTTCTATCTTAATAGGAATAGTTCTTCCTCTCCATGTTATCTCTGACAATGTTGAAGCCTGTTTTTCTCTTGTTTGTATGAGTAAATCCTGAAAATTTACCAGTTTTACATGTATATTCAAAATTGAAAATGTTATCAATCAAGCAATGAATAATTAGTTAAATATGGGAATCTTTTTTTGGATGTTCCAGGTACTTTTATAGTTCTAAATCAAGCAAACACATATATATTTATATAGAACTTAAAAATTTAAATACTTACATCTAATTTAGAAATAAGTTGGTCTTCTCCAGATTTTAGCCGCATATTCTGTAAATCTTTTAAAGCAGATTCATCTCCTATTTTATAAGCACAGTATCTTATATTAGGAGATATTTCCTCTACTCTTTGTTGGTACAGGACTTGAATATCTTCAGTAAATGCAGTTGATAACTTTTCATAAATAGTTCTGTAAATCAATTGCATAAGATATCATATAAATATTTTAGGAATTTTAATATTAAGAAGTTTTTCTATTCAAATCAATGATCAAATTGATTAGATTCAATCTTTAATATTTTGCAACATTTACATTATTGACTAATCATTACCATTTATTTTAGTGCAATGTAGTGACATTGAAATTGGTTTTTATTTTATTTCATTTATATCATTTATTTCATTAAGTCCATCTAGTATTTGGTTTTTCTTTCAATGGGTATTTTCTTTTTTTTCTTTTTAATACATCATCAATTTATAATTTCAGTGCAAGAATTGAAGTATCAGTTTTTTTTGTTTTTATTTTTATAATCTTATTGTTTTAGGTCTTTGGACTACCAGTACAAATTTCCATTTTAAGATATTAACCTTAACATTCATGAACATTGCTTTAACCCTGTGCCAGTGCCTTCTGTTGGATAGTAACTTGTTACCTTTCAACCAACTCTAAATATTGGAAACTTTACCCAAATCCTGAAAGCTGGGAAATATCTGAACATAAATAAATGATAGGCCTATCTTGAAGTTGGAGATATATCTTACTTAGCATTACTAAAAGCATCAATAGCTTTCTGCCAGTTATCTGTTTCAAACTGTAAACCCCCTAAAATCCATGCATGGTAAGCCTGTAAAGTATAGTTGTAAATAGTATAAAAGCAGTCACAACAGCAAAGTAAATATTTTGATCAAAAACGTCAGCTCCACCTTCAGAAATTAAAATGTTTCACAGTGTTATGTTGTTTTCTCCTAAATGCAGGAAATTGTTGAGGAAAATTTTGAAGAAAAGTTTTGCTCCTGCTCCAGAGCTGAGAAGCTAAGATAAATAAAATTTAATCAGATTGGTAATTATAATAAAAAGAAGTGAAACCTTACCTGGCACTCTAATTTTGTCCTAGCATCACATTTAGGACTTTCACACAATCTGAGTAATTCACTTGCATGCTGTAAAGCTTTTTTCAACCTCGACACCATGTGAAACTTCTTTCTTGGTTCAGTGTTTGACTCAGATTTCAGCTGCATGGCATATCCCCAAGCCCTTTCAGCTTCAAATATTGGTAAGTGCAAATATCTGAAATAAAAAATTTTTTTTTTATCTGAAAAAGTATCTGAATCAATTAAGTGATTGGGTACTGATTTCAACCAAACAAGAGATCAGAAGAGATCATCAGCAACAGAACTAAAAGAAAAGACTACTGTTAAGAATGTATAAAATACATCATTTGGTTGAAAAAGCAACAATAGATATCACAACCTGGGTTTTCAAAGTTTTCATAATCCATTAGATTTAAGACATTCAGAAATAAAAAGATACCTTTCATCATTCATCATTTCTGGTGTTATCTTTTTGGGTGCTACCTTATGTTTGGTGCCTTGCGTAAAATGAAGAGATTTACGCAAGCGGCGTATTTTTCTGGTACAATAAGACCTGAAATATCCAATTTGACATAAACACCAACAAAAAAAAGATTAATGTTCAATCTTACAAGCCATGTCAGGAGAAATATAGGTTTCTGAGTACAGGTGCAAATAGGCACTAGGCATCAAGTGTGATGCAGAATTATCAATTCTGTACAGTTGAAAATAGAGAAACTGTATACACATATCCAGGACCAGACAAGGTAAGGTGTATCATTCTGTCAGTTATTTTGCAATGGGATGCAAAGGACATTGGCATTTAACAAATTTTAATTTAAATATAACAGATTCAAGTTTATTAAAAATTTACCTATAGCGCTGGTGGTCTCCATGACGTAAACCATGTTGTTGCTGTGCCTCCTTTATCAAATGCAAAACTGGAAGTTAAAATAATATAACATCTCATATTATGTTGAGTACTGAGTCGAGCTCCACCCAAATAACTTCAAAAGAAACTTTTTTTTCCTGATAAGTGTTGTTGAACAAGCTAAATTGGCCCCTTTCATTTGATCTTTAAGGGTTGATTTTGAAAAATTTTGATTTTTTCAATCTTAGACTGTGAAACAATACATCATTTCCGTGTTTCCAATTCTACTAAAACTACCATATGCTTACTTACATTATTGGGTGAGAATGCATGATCGTATGGCCTCAGGCCATTCTATCTGGGCATACAATAACATAAATTTCATTACCATATGTTGCAAATTTTGTAGCAAGTTCCACTTTCTGAGACCATTATATAACAAAATGATCACAATTCAAGCGAATAGATATAGGCCTACCAACATAATACACTGTGTAGGTCTAATTACCACAACTAAAAGTTATGCACCAAATGCTGAAGCCTACAGAGTAGGCTACAGTGTAAATTTATCATTATGCAAGAATTTGAATATATCTCAACCAAAGTGTATCAGCATGTAGAGCCAGACCCATTATCCAACTATGTTCAACTTGACTTCAATCTGTCTGATCTCAGCAAATCAAAGCTGTCCAACTCAAAGCTGTTGAGATTCATACATTTATCATTATGCTAGACCACTCCATAACAGAAGTTAAAATGAGAGGTTTTCAATATCCACAGATAATATGCATAGTCTACCTTCTACTGAAAATGATTGCAAAATTGGAGTTTCGTTATCTGTTTGTTCGTCAATATTTTCCCCTTTCTCTGTCACGTTTTCTTCGTCGGCAGCCATTTTCATTGACACGGATGTGATGAAGTTAACCGGAAGTTGCTTTACACGCTAAAATAGGTTTGTCTTATGATCGCAATGTACAGCCATACGAATTAATGAAAAATAAAGTTATACATCTCAAACGGACGTAAACGTTATGTGAAACTTATAAATGCAATTATCAATGAAGTTTCTGTTCTATTTCTTATAGTTAAAAGGGGAATTGTCTTCAATCATAATTATGAAAAATCATTATAAAATCCTCATTCCCCTGAACGTGAAATATACAGTTCAGATTTCGATACGTTTATGATCAGAAATACAATATAACCTTTTATGGGAGTTCTATCAATTTAAATGCCTGATTGGCTTGCTTAGAATTTATCGCAAAATTGTTTGAGGTCGTTTCCTGTCGTATTTCTGCTCGGTTCTTGGTCGTTGCCCGTTTTCGTTGGTCGTTTCCTGGTCGTTTCTGGTTGTTTCTTGTTTTAGTAAGACGTGTGTGGGACACAGGATCAGTCATTCAGTGTCTTGATGTCATTAATTAAAATTAGAAAAAAATGTTGTTCCATTTTCATTTTTATAAGCTTTTATTATCATAGCCACAAACACTGAAATTTGGTCTAATTTAAATATGACTGATAAAATTTTATATAGACCTGGTTTTCTGTCTCTACACCAGCTGACAACCTTCAAATTAGCTGTCAGAGGACTTGAATAGAGTCAGATGTCTCGGTCTAATTATAACCCAATGTTTAGATAGTATTATAATAATTATAATTTTTACTTCGATAGAAAATTTCTTTGAATGATTTTGTCTCTTAAATGAATTCATTTAATCTTATTAAAGAATGAATTTAGACTTTGTGCCATGTATTTATTTTCATTTTCATAATCCATTCTCGTCTCTATTGCATATTGGCTGAGAAACTTGTATTCTCAAATTTTGAAGTACTCTGAATGAATTTGGATGACACTTGGAACGCAGTCCCAATAAGAGATCATAACCGACTCAAAATTGTATTTTCAAATCGCTATTTATAGTGCTTTATAATATATATAGCTTTAGCTCTATTATTGAATGACATCATAATGATATCATTCTGATAACAATAACATTATTAACTCACAAAATGCAGATATGGAAAGGATTTAATTTATTCTTAGCTTGTGAAAGTAGAAGTAGAATTCTTCGAAGGTTCATATATATTGATATAAGCCCAGTTTTTAGCCGTTAATATTGTTTAGTGCCAAAACTATTAATAAGGTTTTCGTAAACTTCAGATATATGTTTTTCTGTCTAGAACCTACTGCACGGATATGCAAAATAAACGCATAATAAATTTTAAATTTTATTGTAGAGAAATATGACTTCTATGTTTTCTTAAGGTTTCAAATAAACATATCGAATCTATGAGGCCCAACACAAAACTTTCATTAACACAACTTTACAGGGGTGCTTTAGAATTAAGCCTAAGCAATGTACGCTTTGATGACACTATAAATAGTTTACATTGCTTAGGCTTAATTCTAAAGCTTTTTAAAAGCTCGTTATATTTTGTTGAAATCTTTAGAAAACGCAGGAGACATATTTCTCTACAATCAGGCGATTATTTTACACAAATCCGTACAGTAGTTTTCTTACAGCTTGCAAAAAGCATAGCGAACATTGTAATATTTTACGTAAAGTTTTGGCGTTAAAAAATTAAAGTTATGCGATACATTTCTATAGATTTTGGTTTATAGTTTTTACAAATTAGAGTAACAAAAATTTCGACCTACAATCAAAGCAGAATGTCCCTTTAAATCATGTTGTTACTCAGAGTTTCACGCTATGCGATCTTCCGATAATTAAACTATTTTAAGCCCCACTATTTAGAATTCAGAACATAACCATGCAGACCCTGTAACATGTTAAATTCATCTAAAACACTTTATAGTTCACTCACTTATTCAGGCTCATAGATAACTTAATGTTCATGAACTCTATCATCAAACGACCTACCGCAAAAGTTACGCTTATCGCACTGCAACATACCACGGTAATAGATGGCGATGATTATTTACCGGAATTATGTCAATGTTGTCACGCGATCACGTAATTCTGGTAATTTAAATATCAGAAGCTCGTCGTTCAAGACTACGAGTATTTGTAAACATAGGCAATTAAAACAAAAACTTCGAAATTCAAACTGATGATAAAATGTATAATTGGTGAGCCAATAGAAATGCATAAGTAAGTGATAGGTTTATCCCCAAAGACTTTAAATTTATGGACTACATTTAGATCGCAACGTAACTATGACTTGACAATTCACCGGAAGTAAAGAGTCTCGCCAACCTCGTCTCATTACTGAGTCAGATTCTTTACGGAAACTGCCGAGGATTGCCGAATGGCCCTTTCATAAAAACCTACAATATTAAGATATCTATGATAAAAACATAGGCTAACATGTGCATGCTCAAGTTGGTATGTCAAGGTATACAAAACAAGGACTGATGTGCAAGAAAATGAATTAATGTTAATGATCTATCACCGACAACTGTCAAAATGGCTATCAGAGACTGGAGTAGAGGCAGATGTTTCGGACTAATAGGCCTACTGCTTATATCTGATAACGTGAATGTTATTGACCCACAAAAAGCAGATATGGAAAAGATCTATATTTATTCTTAGCTTTTGAAAGTAGAAGTAGAATTCTTCGAAGCTTCGTATAATATCCTGTAGGCTATGTGTCTAGTTTGAAGCGTCATTTGCCTTGAAGACTGGGATAGATGAACACCTTTATGTAAGTGAAATTATTTTAAATATTTGATATATCGGGTGTCTCAAAAAAAAAATGTCCCAAAGTTTTTGAAAAAGATCAGTTTACCAACAGCTGAGATATTACCCGTCAAACTTTGGAATTTTGGACACCCGATATTCTTTGATCCTTACATATATTATTGGTTACATTAAGCATTTCTTTCAGCTAAGATATCAACAGGGGGAACTACATAATATGTATAGAAATGCACAAGAAAGTGAAAGGTTTTCTCCCAAGGCTCCAAATTCATTGACTTCATTTATACCGCAAAATTACTATCACTTGTCAAATAAGCTTTAAAAACCGGAAGTAAAGAGTTTCGCCCAAGATGACAGAACGAAAATCTCATTCATCGCGAGTCAGATTCAGCTTTACGGAAAATCCAGAGGATTGCCGAATGGCCGAATCATAAAAACATAACATGCGCATGCTCAAGTTAAGATATGTCAAGGTATACTAAAAAAAGGATTGACGTATATGAACACGAATTATTGTCAATGTCAATTAAAATATGTCACCGACAACTGTCAAAATAGCATTCAGAGACTGGAATAGAGGCAGATGTTTCGGACTTATAGGTCTACTGTTTATATCTGATAACCTGAATGTTATTGGCCCACAAAAGCGGATATGGAAAAGATCTATATTTATTCTTAGCTTTTGAAAGTAGAAGTGGAATTCTTCGAAGCTTCCTGTAGGCTATGTGTCTAGTTTGAAGCGTCATTTGCTTTGAAGAATTTGATAGATGAACACCTTTATGTAAGTGAAATTATTTTCTTTCATCCTTAGATGAAGGCCTATTGGTAAATTTAGTAATGGGACTTCCCGGAAACTAAGTGACTATATAACTCTTCTTTTAGCATAGATATCAACAAGGAGAGCTACAAATATATAATATTGGAATTTATGGATAATGATATTTGTTTATTATTTGTGCAGGAGGATATCACTGGATTGACTTTCAGTTACATTTTGTGATAACGTAGTAAACTTACCAGCATATTTCAAAGATTATCTATTGAGTGTTAGGCTACATGGGGTATAGATTTTTACTTAAAGAATATATAGAAATAAACAGTAACATAACTCGTATTGTATTATCAATATTACTTCAACAAGGAAGTTAAAACTATGTACAGTATATGTAATACCATACAGGATAGTAGACCTACCACAAGATGCTAGCCTATACCACAGATTTCATAGAAATAACGCGTGGACGCATAAGAAACTACGCAGGGTTCTTACATAGAAATAACACTGACATAGTTCACTATCATTTTGAATCAATTCATCGACTTAAAAAGTCCTATTTTTAAAAAGCCTATTAATATTTCAACTAATATTTCACTTTTTAAAGATTGTCAAGAGGTTTTCTGGCCTTTTTTTGTGTATC